TAATACTAAAAGACATTCCAGGTGCTCTGTAGTATAGATTCATACAGAATTAATAAAAGTATTCATGGCATGGTGGAAGGCTACACAGTGTAGCAGTGAGTAGCACTGCTGCCATGCAGCAAGAAGTTTCTAGGTTCAATTCCCGGCCCGGGGTCTTTCTGCATGGAGTTTGCACGTTCTCCCTGTGCATTCATGGGTTCTCTCTGGGTACTATGGCTTCCTCCCACAGTCCAAAAACATGACTGTTAGGTTAAATGGCTTCTTTAAATTGTCATAAGGTGTGAGTGTGTACGTGAATGGTTGTTTGTCTTTGTGCTGCCCTGTGATGGACTGGCGACCTGTGCTGGGTGAACCCCACCTCTCGCCCATGACAGGTGACCCCAACAGGGATGACGGAAAATGTATGGATGGATGGGACCGTGTATGCAACATAAACCTGAACACAACATCCTTGCTGGGAAAATCGGATGGGGGGTAGCATCTAGGAAATTGATATCAAAAAACAGTAAGCCTGTTAACCCAAGTCCAGAGGGTTTTCTTAGGCAATCTCTATCTAAAAAAACACTCAAATAAAAAAAATCAGGAATACCTCCACAATCACCAGGTCTACATGCAACCTTTGGTATAATTATCAAGGTAAAACGTGTTTTCAATGGAACCATTATCACAGGTGTTATTATGCCACATTTATATGCGTTTAAATAAAATACAGAAAAGAAATACACTTTTTTGCCTCTCCTTATTTATTTTTTTCTTATAAAATTAACAAAAATAATAATGGGAATCCTTGTGAAGAGATCCCGTTTTAGCGCAACTTAGCAAAATGTGCCAAAATTCTTCCTAGGATGTTTTTAACTTCATAAAAGGAAATCTGGTCAAATAAAAGTATTGATTTCAACTGTAGGACTCCTGACTGTGATGGAGCATTTCGCTGTGACATTATATACGCTGTATATCATCAACTATGTCATGGGGCAGTTTTTAAATCTAACTTTGCATGAAGTGTTTATAAAAGAGGCTACTACTACTGAGTCTATACTTTTAAACAATAGCAGCCTTGAGGGGCGGAGCATAGACATATCAGTGTCCTGGAAGCATTTTCCATATGCCATGTTTGATAGAGCCGTAAACAGCATCTTCTGTGCTTAAAGTTCTGTTAAACATTATGTGTAAAAGAAAAACAAATGTTATTTACTTGATCTTGGAAAAAGGATGGAGCATATTTAACCAACTTTAACAGAAGGTGAAAAGTGGGCCTTCATTGCCCATAATGGACCCATTTAGCTTAGAACCGCAAAACTCTCAAGACAACAGCAAACGTTCACACATCAGATCAAACATTAACATACAGACAGAACCGCCTGGCAGCCAAATTCTGATTGAAAGTCTGTCATAAGGTTTGAAATCCATCTCCATAGACCTTTTTATCAAATCACATTCACAGCTATTTTGCCAAAAAAAAAAAAAAAATGTTATTGTAGATCTGCAAAGCGACTAAATACAGACAAAAAATGTGTATTTTTATTTGTAGATGGAATATAGTTCCATAGTTTACTCACCCTGAGTAACTGAAAACAAATGTGCCAAATTTCACATTGATTTTTTTGAATTATTTATTTCATTTCCAAATTTCAATGATGAAATTCGAAAAACAACATTTGCAAGGCTTTAAATATTCTCTCTATTTTTTTTTTTTTTTAGAAAGGGCAATATGGGTTTCATTCATGGATCTGTTAGCCTGTACCTGATATCAGACAAGTGGAAAACAATGGATAGACCAACAAAAGAGAGTGTTTTGTTTGAACTTAGAAACTCAGATCATAATAAAAAGATTTTAAAGTTGTTTTTGAATTAACAGCTCCAGAAGACAGATCAATTCGTTTATCAGTTCAAACTACCATGGAATGTGACAGTCATGGGTTAGTAGGATGAGTCCTACGCTGTGTTTTGTTTTTCATGCATTTTTCAGCTAAGTTGTTGCTGTAAAAAATCCTAAAAGCTATTATCTTTATTAAAAGAGCATGTTTAGCCTTTTACCAAACATTTTCATATACAGTAAGTTTTGATTATTTTATGAACCTTTTATCCAATTGTAAATAAATTGTAACTGTTGCTTTATGGTGCTTTCCTGCTTATTTCCTTGATTATTGTCTTCCAACCACACTGTTTTTCTTTTGTATAACCAATAAGCTCCTTCCCTTGACCTAATAAAGATAGGGAACTCGCTGTACTCCACTCGATTCATTTCCTCTTTTATCAGCTAGTATGTTTCTAGCAAACCATTAAACAATGTGACGCATATCATTACAGATCTGTGTTGTTGTTCTTTGTGTTTGCGGGAGAGACATGTAAACAGATGCCGAAAGATCTTGATGTCTGAGCAAGGCCTTTGGATGCAGTAAGGCTAGAGTGTCTGCCTTCATTTTAGGATTCTGTACCAATTTCCTATAAGTCTGCGGTTCTTCAAAAACTCCACAATAACGGCTTATCTTTAGGAGAATAACATATGTGGGTCACTGAGTTTACCTGGAGCAGTTTAAGCCCTTTGGGGCTTTTTCACTTTACTTACAGTATAAAAACGCAAGGGTAATTTCTAAAAGAAGCATTTTATCGGTAACTTCAAGTTATTGTCTGCAAGACCAAATATTTTCTGAAAGGACACACAAACTTTGTTTTTATGACTTTAGAAATTGACTCATTGGAATATTGCATTGCTGGTGATCCTAAAGATCCAATTAACAACTCCCTTAAATTTTAGTTGCAACAATACTAATAACAATGATAAAAGAGCATATGATAACTTAATGGTATTGTAAAAAAAAAAGTTCTTAATGTTTTTATCATACAAGTGTTCTGTCAGATTAAAGGCTTCTATTAGCAGCATTTCCAACCCCCCTCTAAAATGTTGCTAATGCCCCTGATATTTATGTAATTGATATCAGAATTGCTATAAGCAATATATAAGAGCATCCAGATAAAGTAGACCCTTGTAAATTTGTGTTTTTCTTGAACTCAACCATCCCTAAATATGCTTGAATATGGCAGTCTGTTTAAAGCCAGCTTCATTAGCAATCACATTTTGTGGCTTTCTCTCCTAAAGAGGGTTTTTTAATGACTATCTGGTGGAAGACCTTCAAGTCAGACACTATTCACATGATTTTAGGCCACAGCATCTCATGTCTGTCTTAGAAATCCTTTAAAAAAAAAAACTATTGCTCTTATTTAATGTTCAAATTTTGTGGCAAGCTAAATCTAATTATCAGTGTCATAGTCGTCAAAATAAATACATTAAATTGAATAAATTTATGCATTTTTTAAGTAAATTACTGAATAAATTAACTCTTAAATGCTTTTATAGATCTACCTTTATTTTAGTATTTTTTTTATCATTAGGTAGACAGAACAATAATTGGGGTTTTAATGTAAAAAAAATTACTCATGTTTGTCTTGGAAGGATATGATCTGGTAGCTTTTTGCCAATTTGCTCACAATAAAAATCAAAGCTAGTCTTTTATCTTCCCATAATGTCATAGACATAGTTGGCCTACATTGTGGCTCTGCTGCCAGTCAATTCAGCAATCAAAATGAGGCTGCAACATCAACGAGGTCATATCCCCCTTCCCCCCCCCCCCCCACCCCCCCCCCCCCCCCCCCCCAACAGAAATCACCCAGCTCTAGTTTACATAATGTAGCCAGAACAATCTAACCCTGAATTACTTAAATCAATGAATTACTTCAAATTATGACAAGCTCCTGAAATATTAAGAAATACTGAGTATTTATCAGGCTGTTCTACCTCTATGCAGGCTGGGGCAGCAATCACCATCCCTGCTTCAGTCTGGCCTGCAGACATGAGAGGCGTGGGGAGGGGGGGGGGGGGGGGGGGGGGTTGGCTGGCTGCAAAAACTGGGACAGAGTCAGCACTCGTTGGCTGAGCCATAAACGCTGCCGTGAAAGCATCAAGTCTGTCCTGATGTGCAAGTTCTGCCCGTCGTGATTTTCCTCTGGCACAATGACCTCCCATCACATGCTGCGTGTAGCGCACATTCCTCAGTCACAGCGCACAAAGCCTGCAGCAGTGAGGGCGCACACACACACACCTAACACCATGCAGAAGCAAAATACCACATGGTTCTAACAGTTTTTTTTTTTTTTTTTTTTTTTTGGTTTGTTTTTTTTTTTTTGTTACTGGTTTTGTTTTTAAAGAGCAGGAGTGTGTATTCACAAAGAGCGGCTGTAGAACCGCTGTGAGCGCTTACATTGTATCATGTCACGCATTAAATGCGGGCCCCAGAACAGTAATCGTTCCGGTCTAGTTATGATGCGCAAGGAGGAAAAATGTGAGCGGATGGCGCAGAGATAGGAGTAAATAAGGAGAGAAAAGAAAGGGACCGACGCTCTATCGTGGCTGAAGCTACATCGCCTACGCCCATTCACAACGTTTTACAACCCCGATCCTGACATCCCTCCCTCCCACCTTCCCTCCCAAACACACACATTGAATGATCCGGTAGGATTTAGTCCGTGCGTTTCCAATCGGATAATTTCACTGCGCAGACTGTGGGTTTCCAGCCATGTGTTGGCAAATATGCTGATTTAAACACACATTTGACATAAATATATCATATTTAGCTTGTAATTAGAATGAGATGCGAGAAACTGACACATACATTCTTAATAATGATGTTATGATAATCAATGTTTTAACCAAACACTAACTTAGACAGGTGGGCGCAATGTGGGCTGAACAAAGAAAGGGGAAAAAATGGTCAGTGTTTCGTTGCCACGTTTTTCTTTTTTAATCTTAATCGGATTTAAATCTCTCTTCACGCTGTGAAACATCGGGTGGTGTGGAAGTGACCGTCAGCTAAATAATCCATTTGATCCAGGTTGAAAGGAACCGGCAGGATTGGGAGCGATCGGTGCCGCCGGTGCGTCACGTCCAGCCGTGCGCACCTCTCGGTCAGACAAAAACACCGGGAAATACCGAGAAGACTCACCTCGTGGTCTGAAGACGACACAGACGGACGGACCGGGGAGTCTGGAGGGGGGTTTAATCCCCCCCTCCTCCCCAAAAAAGATCGGTGATCCGGAGAATCCCAAACAGGGAGGGGGGGGGGTTCGGTGATGGGATGGGAGAAATCAGCGGCGTCCGGCCGGAGCAGAGGATGGTGGTGGTGGTGCTGGCTGTATCCTGGATGCTGTCATCGCGCAGCGACTCTCTGGGCTTTAATCCGCGGCCCTGTGCTCAGAAATAACCCACCCCCTCCCTCTGATCAGCGTCTCTCCTCCCTGCCTCCATCCCTTTCTGTCCGGAGAACCCGCGCCCCTCCTTCACTGAAAATGTTTTTAGTTTATTTTTTTATTCCTTCACACTTTCATGCTTCAGAACTTGTAATAATGTAAACAGTCATTATATGATTAAATTATTATTCATCCAGCTTGGTTGGACTATGAAGTTATGCGGTAGCCTATTTCAAGAAAATTCGTTTTTTTTTTTTTCTTACTGAATTTGATCAGATGAAAAACGAAAATTAAAAGTTACCAGTTGAATATAATCAGTTCAAGGAGATTCAAAAAAATTGTGAGATTCTTTTAATGGTTTCAGAATTTGTCAAAATGCAGCAGGAGCCAACTATACAGAGCTTATGAAAAGCCACGCACCTTTTTCATGAATGTTAAACTTGACCTCTTGTTTTAGTTTGGGGGCGGTTACTAAATTTGCTACCGAGAAGGAACATTAGATATGTTTTTCTTTTTTAACTATAAACTCAAGAGGTTACTTTCTGTCAAATTAGTATGGATTCACAGGATTCTAAAAAGTTGAGTCAATGATATAATGACTTTGTATGATTAAGAAGATCGGAATGTCTTTTAGAGGAAACACCTCACTACTTCCTTTTATGACTTCATTTAAAAAAAAAGATAGCTCCATAAATCTTCCTGGAATATAATTTCCAGATTATTAGTAAATTTAAAGACATGTTTAATTAGATTATAATTGGGATGTGTGGCTATAATCATCATTGTTTCATCTGAAGATGTCTAAAAACAATTGTGTGGCTACAGTGCTATACTCAGATTACGTGGCACTGTGACAAAAGGACTTTATGTGGATTAATTGAAATGACTTCTAAAGACACCAGCCCAGCAGAGGAAGCATGCTGGGCTTCCAAAAAATTCTATAGGCTACCTTTAAATAAATTACAGCAGCTTAAGGACAACAAAATACATTTATTGCAAGAGAATCATCACAAGCCTACAGAGTCAGCCGATTAACCTTAGTCAGTTATAAAAGCTTTGCAATAAGCTGGGTTGCAACCAGATACTAAACAAAAATTAATTAATTCATCATCCATCCATCGATCAAATATCCATTCATCATCCATCCATCCATCCATCCATCCATCCATCCATCCATCCATCCATCCACAGATCATCCATCCATCAACCATCCATCCATTCATAGATCATCTATCTATCTATCTATCTATCTATCTATCTATCTATCTATCTATCTATCTATCTATCTATCTATCTATCTATCTATCTATCTATCTATCTATCTATCTATCTATCTATCTATCTATCTATCTATCTACCTATGCCACATTATCGCATCATACATAATGCAGTGACATCACTAGCTCCAGCCATATCAAGATATTACAGCGTTCTAGTGCAAGTAGATTATGAATGCAGTGACAGAGAAGCGCTGTTGAGAATTATCCACTCGTCTGTGCTCTCATTTAATTCCCAAATCTTTCTTACGTACATAATGAATATCATAACTTTTTATCCTGATTGAAGAACTGTCCTTAACACATAACAGGCAGGTATTATTAGGCTTCAACAAGCACATATTTAAATGATAGAAATAACCCTAACATATTTTTCCATACAGCATTTTATTCAACTTTATTACATAATACAGCACCTTGGAAATCACTACCATGACACATAATACCATAGAAAAGTGATTCCACTTTTAAAGATTACATTTTTAGCATTTCTCAGAAAAAAATAAATCCTGGATGACAAAATTCAAAAGGGTCTCAACAAATCTTGTTCAAAATCTACACGTTTTGTTTAATCTGTTCCTTTCTGCACATGTGTCGCTTTCAGCAGCACAAAGGGGAGTTAAAGGAAATTAAATGGCAGATAAGGCTGCAAAGGAGGCTACAACAAGAGAATCCATTGATCTGTCAGTTAAAATTAGTAAGATGGAAACAAACAGCGTCATTAAAAAGAGACTGAAGGAAAGGTGGCAAAAGCAATGAGAAAAAGAGTATGTCAAGACTTAGATTTGGGCATACAGGATTAAACAGTACTTTATTCAAAATAGGTCAACATAACACCGGTATGTGTGAATACTGTGAGCAACAAGAAACAATTGATCATGTTATGGTACACTGTAAGAAGTATGAAAGAAAAAGAAGGGAATTGGTTCAAAATCTTAAAAAAGAGAAAATACACTTTATTTTTATAGAAATCCTTAGAAAGAACTCAAGAGATAAGTGTTATATAACTGTTTTTCATTATCTTAGATTAATCAATATAATTGAGAGGACTGAATCTTATTTTGGTTTTGTTTGGTACAGTATAACTGATAGTAACCATTCAGATCCACACTCCATACCAGGTGGTGGCGGTATTGCCCCATTTCGTTGCGTGCCAACCGCCTATATAATCTCATATAGAAGAAAAAGAAGATGTGTCTAAGAGTTCAGTGCAGCTTAATGGAGAACAAAAAGATCAGCAGGGGAGTCATTGGAGGAGTTCCTCTAAAAATTTCTGAAAAAGAGATTCTGGAAAACATAAGCGGTGCAAAAGTAAAAGAAGTAAAACGGTTAAAAACAACAAGAAACGGAGAAAGATCTGACAGTTTATCGGTGTTAATTAAATTCGAAGAAGAGCAATTACCAAGCAAAGTATTCATCGGTTACATAAGCTATAATGTCAAAATCTACAATCCTCCACCATTGAGATGTTTCAAATGCCAAAAATTCGGTCACATTGCAGCAGTTTGTAAAGGGAAACAGAGGTGTGGAAGGTGTGCAGGAGAACATGAGTACGGAAAATGTGGAAAAGAAGCTAAAATAAAATGCTGTAATTGTGGTGGAGAACATACTGCTGCTTATCGCGGCTGTGAAGCAAGCAAAAGGTCTGAGGAAATTAAAAAAATGAAATTTGAGCTCGGAATAACCTACGCTGAAGCTGCAAAAAGGATCCCATCTCAGTCAGAAAAACCCAAACCTACAGTTCAACACACAGCAAATTCCAAACCTCTAGAGAAATCTCCAAAAATTGATGAAGACTCACTAATTGTTAAAAAGACAAATTTTGTTCTTTTCATGGTAGAAGTGATTAATTGTACTGCACAGACAACAAAAAAAAAACTGAAAAAATCAAAATAATAGTGAAGGCTGCAGAAAAATATCTGGACATTAAAGATTTGAACTGGGAGATGGTTGGAAGCATGATGGGAGGACCGATGGGACCATCAGAAACTGGCAGAATTACGATGACCTAGAGTAAATTAAAATTATATGGGCAAATGTGATTTAGTATTATGTTGGTTTAAGTTACACAGGTTTTTTTTTTTTGGGGGGGGGGGGGGGTGAATCGTTTCCTGTTTTCTTGCTTTACTCCATATCAGTTGGTGGCGGTAATGCACAATTCACAAGTCTGCCAACCGCCATAAAATCTCATAAGAAGAAGAAGAAGAAAGAAGATGTGTCGCTTTCGTGCAGTTTGTCCCTAAGTGCGCCCCGTAGCACTCACTGCCCTTTCCTGTTACGCATTTCCGCTTTGATTTCCTCCATGTGAAGACAGAAGAAGGTGAAATTTTAAACGGGAAAACACATCTGAGGAACATCAAGGCAAAAATGTTCAAACTTGAAGGACTCGGGCCTAAAATGGACCCAGAGGAGATGAAGAAGAAAATGCGAGAAGATGTCATCTCATCGTTACGGAATTTCCTTATTTACGTCGCTCTGCTCAGAGTCAGTAAGTACATAATTAAATGACATTGGGGATCGTCTATTTCACTTTCTAAAAACATCCACTGAAACCGCAGCTTTGTGGATTTAATATTAGCACAGAAAACATCTAAAACTTAAATTTTAAGAACTCAGAAGAAAAAGGAGTCAGGAGAAAATCAGAAAAACACGACCTTTAAACTTACAGATTATATGAATTTACAAGAAATCTTTTGACATTCAAACCATTCAGAATCGTTTATATCGTCTAGATATCAAATCTGCAACATAGTGTTTTCTTAACACATTTTTATTACCATTATATAAAATCCTTTGCATCATAATTTCATTTTTTTTTTATTCCAGCGCCATATTAGCCATGGGATTGTGTTATAAAGCATATCTCCATTCATAATAGGCATTAATGGCTAAACCCAATAAATGTATTTTCCTTATAAGCAAAGGGAAATGATCGTAGCCTTCTTTCAGCCAGCTGACCAGCAAGGTGCAGTAACTCATTGCTGTACACAAGTGGTAAAACTTCCTTTTTTATTTCTCCAGCCATTTTTCTGGTTTCTCATTAAAATGACCTTAATAGTAGGAGCAATACGACACAAAAGCTTTGCAGCTTAGAAACCTTTTTGTTTCTAAAACCTTGGTGTCTTTGAATACCAGTCACCATCTCAAGGCAAAGGAAAAAAAAACAAAATCCAGGGTAGCATTGTTTTACAAACAATATCTTTCCTTAATGTTGGATGGATGGAGTCTCTCTGCTGCATTTTCTCCTGCTCAGCTCATGATCTTACATTTTATGCTTCTTGTGTTCACAGCCCCGTATGTGTTGAAGAAACTGGACAGCATATGAGTGGAGTTCCACAGCCCCTGCCTCCATCCACAGAGTTTCATCCTTCAGAGGCGGCGAGGACCTCCCCATGAAGCCAGCTCGGCCTGTTCAAGAATCACTCTGGAAAACCAGTGTTTTTCTTTGGCTTCATCAGAGACTCTTGCTGTTCTCATGCTAATATTGTGAACTTTGGTCTTCTTTTTTATGTTTAAACAGTGTGTAACATCTGTGTTTTTGTTATGGTTAGAATTATAAACTGTATTCATGCTGTTAGATTGAAAGCATCAAGTTAATTCTCAGTTTTTGTTATCCACAGTTTTAACTGTTATCTGCAATAGATGCATTATTGGAGTACCGGTAATTGAGAATAATGTACAGTAAAGATATGCAGACACATAATTAGCAGATATGAAATATTAAAAACAATGATTCACTGTCTCTTGTACTTCTCTAGTCTTACTGCTCATGCAGAGATGTTTGTTAGGGCTGAAACAATAGGAACAATCGTTTCAACTACTTTACTAATCAATTGTTAACTGGACTATAGATAGTCTAAAACATGCCTTTAGCTTATAGAGCAACTGACATCAAGCAGTAATTATACAAAGATTGTTTAAAAAAAAATATATATATATATATATATATATATATTTTTTTTTTTTTCATCTGTCAATTTGTTCTATCCAGAACTGTTCAGGTGCAAAAGTTTTAGTTTTACCTGGTTTAATTTCATAAAATCTTCTTTAAGGGACCTTTGGCTATATGATTAATTAATAAAAATAAAAAAACACCTTTAAACATGAATTAAATTGCAAAATAATCATTATTTGCAGCCCTAGTTGTTTTTTTTTATGCATTAGTCAATAGTTTGCCCAATAAAACCAGATTTCAATAAATGATGCATACTTTGAATGTAACATCCCTGATCCCAACACAACAGAAAATGAAAATATTTTTTTCTAGTAGTTTATAAGTGGAAATAACTGATAATCAAAGATGTATTTTCTTTGATGTTGAGTAAGATATCTTCACAAAAAAAGTTACAGTACAAGACAAAATGTTACAAATGCACCTCATCATCCTCATTGAAAATTAAAGATGCAAAATAAAATACAAACATAAAGCTCTGCTGATGGTTGCAAAAATGTCCCCCAGGAAGTTAGGTCGTTGTCACTGACATACATGTGGCAAAGTTGGTTTCCTTCCTCACATGCAGCTTTGCGATACAGGTTAAGGTAGGGGCCATTCCTGTCATTGGTAGTCCCTAGTTAGACCTGTCAGAATGATGATAAAGTATGTGTACGTGCGCTGCAGCTACAAAAAAAAAAACGATGCTCTCATTTTTAAGTCTTAAGATACAGAAAGTTCTGAAGTTTTTCCTCTTCTTCCCAAAAAATTGTAAGAGTTTATTTATTGTGACTCTTGACGATTTACAAAATATAGGGTGTGTTTCAAATGAATGGCTGAAAATGATGCTAAGTTGAAGTATGCATAGCAAAAGCAAACACATTGGCATTAGTTGAGGACATCACAAATACTGGTATGTGGGCCAACAGATGTGTGTGAAAATGTAAAAATGTTTATCAGCAAGAGCTTTAGGAAAATCTATTCTGTCTTCAGTGATTTCTTTAGAAAATGTGGATGTTGTGCTCATTCATATTCCCGTTGGTACAGTGTAGACTGACCGTGAATTGGTTTATATTTATGGCCATCCCTCTGTATTCACCGGTTCCCTGCATGGCCAGCCCTGTGAAATGTGTGTGGCTATTTCACTGGCGTGGGATCAACTGGAAGGCCCGCTTGTGTCAAAGGTTCAGCAGTCTGACCCAGTGTGTCACCCTTAGGGAATAGATTTTCTGTTCCTGGAAGAAGCCTACAGGGAACCTGGTTTAATATAAAGTGTCAATCAAGACAAAAAAGAAAAAAACAGAAACCAACCTAGATAATGTAGAAGAACAAAAAAAAAAATTTCAACTTTAATAGCTTGGGTCAAATTAATCTATTAGACAATTATTTCATGGCAGAACTAGTTTTATGGGGTTTGTTTTTAACCAAAGGTGCTGCATGAATATTATACTTGAACAAACACGCTTAACCATGCATATTTTTGTCATTTTGTTTTAAATAAGTGATATAGCTAAGCTATTTCTTTCAGAGGCGTAGCCAGAAATTTTTTATAAGGGTGGCCAGGCAATAACCAATGTAAACTGGGGGTAGCTGAAAGCAGCTAGGCACCAGAACCTCACAGTCAATCTACACTTTTCCAACAGGAAAATTAATGAGCAAAACATCCATATTTCCTAAATAAAGACAATCTTTTCCTACAGCCTTTACTAACAATTAGACGCATATCTTTAAAATCCGTAATTTCTAGAGAAAAGGTATAGTGGATAAAACTCAGTTTTGAGTTCTGTGGAGTAAATCAATCATCATTGGCATTACTTACCTACTTGTATCAATAAACATTCTGCATGAAATGGATATTTACAAGCACCAATATCTACATAAATTGATTATTTTATTTATTTTTTTATTTAAATTGCTATTTATCTTTGATTTCACTCAAGACTTCTAAATGTCTCCTAAATATTTTTCTTTTTACCCCATATAACACAAGATGTAGCTCTGAAAGAGCATGAATTCTGTACTTATCATCTTTGATGACCACAAAAAAAACAAAAAAAAAACGTTTTGAATATTCCACTTGAGAGTATTACTGCTGCCACTATCTGTATTAGAGGGGGGGAAATGGTAGGGGTGGCCAATGATTGGCTAAGGTTGGCCATGCCCACCCCAGGCCCCCCATCTAGCTCGACCCCTGATATCTTTCTTCTATTAATCCATTTTTTTGCCACTAGAGGTTGCATGTCTACATAATCACCACAGGGGGGCAGTGTTGTGCAGCGGAAGGACGGGGATGCAGACAATGGATGCGATTATGCGAGCGCTCTGAAACAAGTAGCGACAGAATTAAATAGATGGATGGGATTTAATGCAAACCGAGTGTTTCAGCAACAGCAGAATCCGCTTTTTGGCGCAGGTGACTTTATTCCTATTTTTGAAATCAAATGCAGCGCATCCTTCCCTGTTGATCCAGGCCCGCCCATAATCCACAGCATCTCCGGGAAAACTGAAAACAATCCGTTCATTATAAGGGAGGAAGGTGAGTCTGCAGATAAAGCAGCCAATAATAGGACGTGGATCGTTTTAATAATCTGCATATCATAGCCTGTTGTTTCTGAAACGGATGCTAGAATATCCTGATTGTCCAATTAGAAGCTCTGCTTGCTGTGATGGACTTCCCGGGTCATTTCCAGCATATTTTCAAACAGCTCAACCATCAGCGCCTGCACACCCAGCTATGTGACTGTATGGTGGTGGTTGGAGGTCAGAGCTTCCAGGCTCACCGCTCCATCCTGGCTGCCAGCAGCTCTCACTTCAGGGCTCTCCTTACCTCCAGCGATGAGGGCTCAGGAGCCCAACATGTGATGGAGCTGGACCCAGAGGTTGTGACGCCAGAGGCCTTCTCTACCCTCCTGGATATGATCTACACCTCCACCCTCACTATAGGGGCCTCCAATGTAATGGATGTGCTCTTGGCTGCCTCCCATCTCCACCTAAATGCAGTGGTCAAAGCCTGCAAGTTGCATTTATCCAGGAAAAACTTTCCTGCCTCTGCACCGAAAGGCTGGAGGTCTGTGCAGCAAAGTCCATGCTCTGTGGCGGTAACAGTACCACAGCACCAGGTAACGTCAGCCACAGATGAGGACTCTGAGATAGAGGACATGGGGATGGAGGTGAGTCAGTCTGGAGAGGATGACACCAGAGGCATGAGGGGAAGTGAGCAACTCACAGCTCCATCTTTGAGACAAAAACGAAAGTCACATGAGGAGATACTGTGTGAAAAGAGGAGGATTTTCAGCTACAAGGAGTGTTCACCCACTGTGACCAGGAGCACAGAGGAAGGAGGAGATGATCTGACATCATCAGGCTGCCTGAAGTCTACTGACAGGCTGTGGGAAAACCCAGGTGATGAAGATGAGGAGGAAGAGAAATACGAGGCAGCAAAGGGGGAGTCTGATGAAATCCAGCTGCCCACTCAGTCGGACAGTAGCACAGCTGGAGAGTGGAAAATGGCTGAAGATAAAGGTGGCGACCCTGTGGTCAAAGTTCAAGCTGGAGAAGAGGAGCGGGATGAACAAAAAATAGTGATTGAGGTGAAAAAGGAAAATATAAGTTCATTTTCCAACGATTTTGATGCAGGTCCAAACAAATCTCCCCCATCACTCTTGGAGGCACAGATCGGAGAAGAAAAAATGCCCGAGGCGGAAGCCGACGGTGGGACGTTACCATCTCAGGTGTGCGCTGATGTTCACACGGATATGCTGACTGGGAGCGGAGAGCTGGGTGGGGACACAGTGGACGGGGAAGGCTTGGAGAGCTTCTCCGAACTCGCCTTCTCCTGCTTTCTCAATCCTAGTTCTGAAAGTGTAATGGGAGCTTTAGGAGAAGAAGATAGTCTGGCTAGTCTGACAGCTGCTGCGACTGCCGCCGCCAGCGACATGCCTACAGCCCCCGAAGGTGGAAATGCACACAGTCAAAAGTTGGCAAAAGCAAACGCTTCTTCAGTCCAGCCCTCGGATTCTTCATCACCTCTTGTTTTTCCTGTAGCCCCCGTCTCCTTGCAGCAGATTCTCCCAACTCAAAGCTCCGGATTCAGTGACACAATCATCCTAAAACCCAATCAGAACTCCTTGACAGGGTTTCTGAGCAGCATCAGTCCAAGTCTCAGTCTGGACACCTCCCATGTCCAACCATCAAGGGCCGGGAAAAGCTCTGGAGCTCCGACTTTCCGTCGCATTGCCCCAAAAGTAGCTCCCGGATCACAATCTTCCACAGATGCTCCCTCTGGATCAGCAGGTGATGCTTCAGAGAGGCCAAGTCTGACTAGAGCATCGGAGGACGTCCTGTCCAAGTGTAAGAAAGCGGCCGCCGAGGACCACGTGCTGCTGGTGGAAGGGGAGAAGAAATACGCTTGCAAGATCTGCTGCAAGACCTTCATGAATCTAACAGACTGTAAGAAGCACATTCGTGTCCACACCGGGGAGAAGCCCTATCCATGTCCGAAGTGCGGCAAACGCTTCAGCCAGTCCTCCCACCTCTATAAGCACTCAAAGAACACCTGCATGAACTGGAAAGATGATCAGTCTTTCCCAGACTCTCTGCTCTAACCTGCACTAAAGACACCATCTGATGGAAATTGAATATTTATCCTTCATGAAACTCTTAATTTTTAGCTAATATGAAGTAAACAAAAATCATGCTTTTTTTGTTTTCCTGTTCAATATTCAGCAATGATTTCCTGTTATTGGCTTAATGTGAAAGATTATAAAAATTATCACTTATTTTAGACCAGAATAGCTAAAAAAACATGTTAAACAGCTTCTATTTAATTTATTTACAAGAATTTATTAATTCTAAAAACAAATTTCTTTACATTTAAATTACATACAAGTTATTTTCTTCTAATATTGACCACTTCATGCAGGGCATGAGTGTTTTACTGTTTAGTAAGTGCAGATTTGCAGCATTAATGTCTGAATCATTTATCGATTATCACATCTCTGAAGGTATCAACACAATGATTTAATATTTTAACTACACAATATCATGACTGTTTAACACTATTTTCTAAAAAAACTAAAAACAAAACAGGGTGAGGTTGGCCTTCTTTTCTAGATCTCCAATTAAGATCAAATCTGACTAGAATGACTGCTTCAGTGTTGCAAACATCACCTCCTATCTAACGTTTTCATTTAATGCTCATGTGGCACCGGAGACGCTGGAGGCACGGTGGTTGGTTTTCAGCACCTAGAAGGTGAGCTCACTGGGCATGTCCGAGCCCTGCAAACCCCCCAGCAGGTTCTGGGCCGTCAGCGCTGACATGATGCCTCTGGTGGAGTAAGTGGCACTGCCTATATGTGGTAACACCACTGCATAAGAACAAAAAGAGACAAGAAAATGACAAAAAATTTTTTTTAAAGATAATTCAACAAAATTGTCTTTTCAGGTAATTTCCTTTTTTAGATTTTGTCAATTTACAACCATAAACTTTAGTGTTTTTTTAGGCGATTTTATTTATTGATCCAACACAAAGTAGAGCAGAATGTGAAGTGGAATTCAAATGTTTTAAAATTAAAAATAAATAAATGTACAACAGGTTGTATTTTTAATGTTATGTATTCAGCCTCTGTGTTTCCATCTTTTAATGAAATACTTTTTGCTCCATTTACAGCTGCTATTCTCTACCAGCTTGTTTAAGTCCAGCATGACTGGATGGAGAGTTTGTCTGTGAAAATAAGATACAGACTTGCAGTAGATCTGGATTTTGAAAAAGCAAAGGTGTAGCTGTAACAACCCCATGATCTGTCAAGGAGAAGATTAGTGGTCTCTGGATTTTGTCTCAAGGAAAGTTAATATGTCCTTTTTTTTTTTTTAAAGTTTAAAAAGAGGGAGTAAACGTGTTTTAATGCAATATTTTTCTAAGTTCAACGTGCGGAAAGAAAGACAGCCAAGTCAGTTACCTCCTCTTCCATCTGTTGCCTGCACTCACTGACTACAGCTAATGTAAAGCTATTAAAGGTATAGTGGAGGATGTTTGTTTTCTGGGTGGATCATCTAAATAAGTGGTCCTCCTAATTCTCAATCATTCTGGCGATATGTTCATGTAAGGCCGTTCTAGGTGCTCATCCACATTTTCACCTAAGCCTATGCCGAGAATTACCTCCCATCTTGCACACTGATGAGAAAACGGATTGAAATATGAACGAAAAGGGAACTTGCAAACATATTCTTAATGTATTCATATTTCTTATGCATGGATGCCCTAAAATTGAGATTCTTGGTGGAAAGATAAATATGAATGAATACGATTTTAACTTGTATGGAGACACGTTTTAGTTTGATGAATATATTCTCTTCTCAGTGGATAGTGTTTCTCTATCATTCCGGACAAAACATGAAGAATATGCTCAAAAGTTCCCTTTTTCATTCATATTTCAATCCGTTTTCTCCTCAATGTGCGAGAGCGGAGGTCATTCTCAGCAGGCAGGAATTTCTCAGCATTTATTTTTCCACCAAAACTCAATTTTAGGTCATCCATACATAAGAAATAAGAAAATATAAAGAATATGTTTAAAGTTCCCTTTTTATTCATATTTCAATCCGTTTTCTCATCAGTGTGCGAGAGCGGAGGTCATTCTCTGCAGCCAGGTATTTCTCTGCATAACACTGTGGTGAGTCTGACAAAGTGGAAAAATTGCCAATCTTCTTTTGGAAAGTTAGCTTGTATGAGCAATGCAAACAGCAACTCTTAAACAGAGCGTGCATGAGGAGAAATAGGCTCGTGCATGCTCATGCATGGGTTTAAAATACGTTCCCTCACTGGAGCGGTACCAGGATTTTGCATTTGCATTTTTTTTTCTAAAGTGGAGAGGGCGGGTATTTACAAAAACTTATGAAAATCCTCCACTATACCTTTAACATCTAGCTGGATGTTTAAACCATTCAGTTATTAGGTCTATCTGCTTAACTCTGTTCCATGTTGTCAGAGTCATTGGACAGGTAGCATGTATTTTACAGTCTGCTTAAGTTCGAGTTCCTATTAATAGCTAAGTTTATTGCCCAAATTATCCCAGAACTGATTTAAACCTTGGTTAATAAGAAATTCTAAATCTCTGTCTACATGGATGCTATAAAATTATCTGATCATGATGTGTGGATACATGCACCAAGTGGTTAATCAGTTTAGAGGCAGGATGGCATGTTGATCCACACATTACATGTAGGTCCGCCTCGTCCACCACAGATGAAGGTTAGGAGCAAAGAAAAAACTTCACTGTGATGTTGCACACATGCAAAGTGGAGAAGATTTAACACTATAGATCTAAATGGGTGCATTGATGACAATTGGACTGGCGATTGGAAAAAAACGCCTCTCTCTTTTGGAATAAACTATAGCAATGGTTTTTGTAAGATGTTTAACTGGTTTAGTCCAGGGCTGAAACAATTATTCTGATTAATCACGATTAATCGATTATTGGAATACTTGTTAACTAATTTAGTAATTGATTAATCGTGAATGGAATATAGAGACTCTAAAACTAGCCTTTAGCTGACAGATCGACTCACTTAGAGCAGTAATTATTGTACTGTAATTATGTTTCAACTGCTTAATTTTGGTTAATTTCGTAAAAAGTCTTCTTTAAAATTTTTTGGCTTTCCGATTATCTATAATCGATGGATTAATCGATTTGCAAAATAATTGTCTTGTTTTTAGCCCACTTTGCTTTGTTGCTATCCCAGATCCAAGCATTTTTATAATATCTACTGTAATATCTTCTCTTACGATTATTCTGTATTTACCTCCAGCCTTCCACAGCATGATGCTGCCACTACCACATTTTTCCATACGGGTGGATCGATGATGAATTGTGTCAGTGAGAATAAAATCAGCTGGATGCGTGCGGATCATTTTCCCTCTACTTTACATGTCTGCACTGCCTCAGTTGGCTGCATTAAATCAAATCCCTAAGGTGGTTGTGATGTGATAAAATGTGATAAAGTTTAAATACCTTTGTAAAGTACCTTTCTACTTACCACAGTTTTTTAGTGTAAGAAGCGGGTGATCTGTTGGGAGCGGTTCAGGTGTTGTGACGTCCAGTCCGGCCGCGGCTATCTGTCCACCCCTCAGAGCGTCATACAGGTCCTCCTGGTTCACCACAGCTCCTCTAAAACCAGGAACCCATCACGCATCAATTCTGATGTCACTTAGAAGCAAACACACCAGGGAGCGGCCTGGATTTGCATGTAAAGTCATCAGCTCACGGTTTTTAGATGTTTACCTGCTTGAGTTGATAAAGACGGCCGTTTTTTTCATCTTGCTGAAAAACGCCTTGTCACACAGGCCCTGAGTTTCTGGTGTCAGCGAGCAGGAAACCACAATGAAATCACTCTCTGACACAAGCTTCTCCAGGGGAACTGTTTGACAAAAAACAGATAGGAATAAATGTAGAGGAAGGGAGCAGGCCGATGGTTAAAAATTCTTCAAACTTTTTATTATTCCCACTTTTATTGTTTCTTACCAAACTCTCCATTCACCTCTGCAGCGTGGGCTTTAGCTGTCCTTCCAGTATACAGCAGTCTCTTAACTCCAAAGGGGATGAGTCTTTGAGCTATGGCCATACCTGATCACAAGGATTTAAAAAAAAAATAGTCACGTTAGTTAAACAACTCAAAATCTGTCACATAGATGGTGCAACATAACAAACCGATGCGGCCCAGTCCAATGATTCCCACAGTGCTGCCAGACAGCCCATAACCGCAGAGCCAGAGAGGTTTCCACGAGCTCCAGCCTCCACTGAGACAAAGAAAAAATACACTTATGTGATATTAATGTAGATTAAAAACACAATTAGCGTAAATGACTGACCAGGTGAGGCTTACTTTTTGACCTCTTCCACTCCCTCTGGTAACCGGCGAGCGGTGGCCAGGAGCAGGGCCACGGTCAGCTCTGCAGTGGCGTCAGTCAGGACGTCTGGAGTGTAACCCACACGAATGCCGCTGTTGAAAGTTAAAAGGCTTTTATTAGTGAAAAGGCATAAAAAATTCCCTCCTAACAAGTCACCTTTCTGAAGCTCACCGCTTTTTGATCTCATCTAGAGCCAAGTGGTCGAATCCCACTGACATGGTGCTGATCACCTTCAAGTTTGGACCTGAATTAGAGAGGGAGCAGCTGAGATGTAGTAACTGATGAAGTGGAGGCTTTGAGAGCAGCCGCTTTTATTTGTTCTGTGGCAGAATAAACTGTAGTAGAAAAAAACGGAACTACAAGGAAGAAAAAACAGGATTTTTAAACTTTATTTTAATCTAAAATTTCCATTAATTTACATCAACCACCTCTACTGCGGTCTCTTCATATAAAGCACAACAAATTCTCTTAGTATCAATAAATGATTTCTACCCGTCATAAAAATTTATTACAAAACATATTGATGATCACGTATTCTTTCCTAACTTTTTGTCTGCTCCGTCATATAAAACCCCAATAAAGTACAATCACTGTTAAGGGAATGCAATCGTTTCAGCAGTACGATTACTTCTGCAGCAAAGTTACCAACATCTATAAGCTGGCCATGTCGATCAGAAATGAAGCACAATAATTTAATAAAATAAAACAAGCAGGCCTGATTTAAATAAATTTAGAGAGTTTGTGTGAGAGTCCACAAGAACAAACTTTAACAGCATGAACCGAAAAACTGAACTGAAAACAGAAAAATGAATTTTTAATGTGACGGCAGTTTGTGTGTATTTTGGGTTTTACATGTTTAACCGGAGTCAGAATGTTTGTAAATGAATAAAGCAACCCCTGAGGGCAGACTTGGTGTAGCTGAAGAGCACAGGGCCCATTCTAACCAGGTTTGTGACGCCATACGATAAACACGCATTTTCTTTTCATTTAAAGTCTCTGTTGATTTTCTGGTTTGTTGTATTTTTTCCCCCTTTCTTTTCAACTACTTGGCAGGCAGTAAATGATTCAAATAGAGAGTAAAAATCTTTTTATTTTATTTTTTATTTTAATATACAAGTGGGCAGATTGAAAACTTGTTTAAACGCAAACCTGTCACTGTTTACCTACCTGTAGTGGTTTTGCTGCATTGAAACTAGTTAAATAATTATACACAAGTATTCTCCTGGAGGCTGTATTTTCAACTGACCATTGTCATTTGAGTGCAGGGGATGTTGTATTACTACAAAACAAATTTGAAGTTTGGTTAAAAAAAAAACTTTTGAACCTCTGAATCAGTTTGTTTTCAATAAGAGTGGAACACCAGCTTTTAGCCTCGATATCCACCATGTGAGCTTAGGAGAGGGATGGATAAATACTGAAAGAGTCATAACTTTTCTGTTTCCTGCTGTTGGAGCCAATTATGTTAAAACTATACCCATGTCAAAATCATTTACAGTTTCCCTGCCTAGCTAAGTTTTTTTTGGATGCCCCCAAAATCTGCATTTAAGTAAAATTCACTGGACTTTTATGGTCCAATGTGCTATTAAATCAAAAGAGAGAAACAGCACATAATATCAGAGGTGTCAAGTAACAATGTACAAATATTTTGTTACTGTACTTAAGTACACTTTTTAGGTATCTATACTTTACTCCATTGCTTATTTTTCTTCCTACTTCTGACTTTTACTCATTAGATTTTCACACAAGTATCTGTACTTTCTATTCCTTACATTTTTAAAAGAAATGTTACTCGTTACTCATGACTTCGGTTTAATATTTATTTACCGTCATGTGCGCCATCCAATGCAGATCATTGGCGCCATCCACATCTAGTGAAAACTAGTGTAATTGGATGAGTCATATAACGCAAACACTCACTGGTTAGCTAAAGGAAATCATCAGAAGCAAGCAGGTGTTGTTCAAACTGAAAATGTGAATTATCTATGCCGTGCTACAATGTGGGATTCAGAAAAAGATGTTGAAATGTCTGAAAGGTCAGACAGGCAAGAGCGTATCAGGAGACCGAGGCCAACAAGACCTCCCTCATCCTTGGCCCTATCTCAAAGAATATTTTGAAAAAGTCGAAAAATTGAGCTTTCAATTCATATAGTGGCATCTGGCTGTTTTTTTAAAGGTTACTTTATACTTTTAGACTTTAAGTAGTTTTTGAAGCACATACTTTTCCACTTTTACTTGAGTAAATAGCTCAAGTTGATACTTTAACTTTTATCAGAGAGTTTTTAAAGTGTAGTATCTATACTTCTACTTAAGTAACAAATGTGTGTACTTTTGACACCACTGCATAATATTAATAAAATCAACTTTTCTGGTTTATCTAAGGTTTCTCATTTAAATTTCTCTGTGACAATCTAACCTGTAAAACCTCTTTTAAAACTGACCACTTGCTTTTTGCCATCTGTGCTTAGGGATTTAATTGGACTCTTCTCATAAGGGGCCACACAAAATCATTCAAAGGGCCACAAATGACCCCTGGAATGTACCATAGACACATATAACATACTATCCACCAGTCATTAATTAAAATTAAGCCTTAAAGTGGAGGACTTTGTTATCTCCTATCTGAGGAAAAGATACCTGCAGCATCCAGAACCTCAGCATCGATTTTATCAGACAGCAAACACACAAGGCCGTGAGCTCCCTGGACCCCTTTGAGAAGCTCTGCCCTGGGGACGGGTTCATCTGAGTCCCACTGAGACACCTCACACCTGTTCCACAGACAGAGGGGAAGGTGAAAATGAAAGTGTCACCAATTTAAATAAAATAGATTAAAAAATGAGGAGGAACAACACACTCACACATGTACATGAACTGTAAAAAGATGATAAAATTTAATTTACAGGATAACATTACCTGTCTGACAAAATGACAGCTAGATATGCTTGGTCTAAAATAATGCTGCTTAATGTTAACCATTATAATCTTACACTCCAGTGGCTCCTGACAGGATCTTCATTCCCTCCTGCGGGATGCGCCTCGTTATGAAAACCTTCATCAGTTCAGCCGCTGCTTTCATCCCAGTTCAACAACCGACGGAACTTATAGTCCTGTGAGGGTAAACAGCGGCTGAATTGTGCAACTTAAAAAAAAAAAGTAACCTTCGCTCTGCAGCAAGACTTCTGGAGGCAGGAACAACGCAGGAAGTGCTGCGGCTGATCCTAGTGCGCATGCGCGGAGGCTCTAATTATAGAGCAGTTAACGTGACCGGTTTTAAGCTCCAATCCCAATTCCAAAGAAAGTTTTTTTTGTACTATATACATAGCAAAGTTAGAAACTCTAAATATATGAGCATTAAAACTCTAATACTAAAAGTATTTATTATTTTTGGGCATAACAATCCACAAAGATTCTTACACTTTTAATGAAACTAAACTGCACATATTAAATTTGGAGATAATTTAAAGTTCAACCATTTAAAGGACACCTTAAATATGATGTTTTATTAACTTCTTAATTTTTTTTTACTACCGCATTTTTCCTTAAAAAAAAAAATTTTACGATTTTTTAACCCCATTACTACTTTTTGTCCACTGATATAGAGGCAAACACTACTTTCTACTCTGAACATAAATTGTCCTTAGTAGCAGAGGTGTAGCCAGAACATTTTTATAAGGGTGGCCAAGCCACAACCAACGTACACTGAGAGGTGGCCGAAAGCGGATAGGTGCAAGAACCTCAGGGTCAATCTACACTGTTGCAACAGGAAAATTAATGAGCACAACATCCATATTTTCTGAATAAAGACAAACTATACTTTCCTACAGCCTTCGCTAACAAATAGACACATATATTTAAACATCCGTGCTTTCTGGATAAAAGGCATAGTGGATACAATTCTTTCAGGTTTGAGTTCTGGGGCTAATATCTCTTCCTTTGTCATTACTTACCTACTTTTATCATCAATTATTCTGCATATAATTGATATTTACAAATGCTAATATATACATAAATAGATTTTTAAGTTTTTATTTAAATAGTTATGTATCTATGATTTCACTGATGACTCCTAGATTACTTTCAGAGACACATCAGTTTCTCTTTACCCCCATAACACAAAATCTAGTTCTGGAAAGAGCATGAATTTTCATCTTTAATGTTAGTACATTGATGTTCATAATTAACCACATTGTTAATATATGAAAAATTAAAATGTTTTGAATATTCCATCCATCCATTTTCTGACACACTTAATCCCAAGTGGGGTCTCAAGGGGTGCTGGTGCCTATCTCCAGCTGTCTATGGGAAAGAGACAGGGTACACCCTGGACAGGTTGCCAGTCCATCGCAGGACAACACAAACAACTATTCACACACACACTCACACCTAAGGAGAATGTAGAGAAGCCAATTAACCTAACAGTCATTTTTTAAATTTTTTTTTGGACTGTTGGAGGAAGCCAGAGTACCCGGAGAAAACCCACGCATGCACAGGGAGAACATGCAAACTCAATGCAGAAAGACCCAGGAATCAAACCCGCAACCTTCTTGCTGCAAGGCAGCAGTGCTACCCACTGAGCAGCCCGTGTTTTGAATATTCCACCTGAGAGTATTTCTGTCTGTATTAGAAGGGGAAAAAATGGTAGGGGTGGCCAATGATTAACTGGCCCCCCATCTTGCTCCGCCCCTCCTTAGTTGGACATTGTGGTGGCCAGGGGCGTGCACACATAGACACTAGGTGGTGCTAACGCACTAGGAAGTTTGCCCTCTATCAAAGAAAATGCCCTTTTGAAACTCAGTTTTTTTTTTATTATTATTAATATTATTAAGATTTTACTGAGGTCGGTTTTGAAATGATCTTTTGAAAACCTGAGCCATTAAAAACGACTGAAACAATGCCCCGAAATGACCGACCTACTCTCGCACACCCGACCAGCCTCTCTCTCTTCCTTTGTCACGTGAACTCACTCGGTCGCCCGCAGGGCATGCCAGATGCGCAGCATCATAGCAGTTTTCAGATAGCAGGAACGGTCGCTGACAGGCTGCTTCTCCCGTGCCCCATTAGCCAGGTAATATACAGATCAAGCAGAATCATTTTGTTGTGCATTAAAATATCTCATTCAGCAGCACCAAACACGCATTTTGCCGACTGGTCACCAGATAAACTAGTTGTCTCCTTGTAAGATGCTATTTTACTTTTTATATTTTGTATCCATATTTTTTTTTATCTTAAGTGTATACATTAGTCTATTTTATTGCATGACGTATACCCACAGTTTTTAGATATTTTTATAATTTTATTTACCTATTCCATATTATATGTTTCATGTTGCACGATTGTACCATAAAAAATTCCTAGTTTGTGAACTCCTTCACTAACAATGGCAATAAACCTGATTCTGATTCTGAAAGTTTTACACTACACTGTGGCCCAAATCAATGACAGATAACGTGAGGACGACCACATAAGCTACAAATAATTTTGGTAGAGTTTGCAATTGCAAATCTACGGAAGAGGATTAGGGCCACTGAAAAAAAAAATAAGTTAACTGATTTTTAAATTTTATTTCAGTTTAGTATGGGAAAAAAAGTCAGAATGCTGACTTTAATCTCATAATTCTAACTTTTTTCTCATAATTCTGACTTTTTGCTGAGAATTCTGACTTTTTGCTCAGTATTCTGACTTTAATCTCAGAATTCTGACAATAAAAAAGTCAGAATTCTGACTTTTTTCCCATGTTAAACTGAAATAAAATTTAAAAATCAGTTAATTTTTTTTTCTCAGTGGCCCTAATCCTCTTCTGTACAAATCTATGTGTTAAGACAAACGTTTTCTGTTGTATAGGTTTTGTTAGGCAACATAAATTAACACATTTTGGTCTCTTTATTGTCTTAATTGTATATTGATTTAGTAATTGCAGCACAATGCCAAGAAAGGAGGGTTAATCGTATTGAAAAATCTTAAAAGCTGTTCACATTTTATTTTTAAGTGGTTTGTGCAGCAGGTATTAAAATAGCTATTATTTTGTAGGCTACCATAAGTCATATCCACGTGACAAGACTTCCAGTCATGTCCCCTAATAGCCCATTATTTAAACTAATGTGGCATATTTGTTAAAGCTATTATTATTATTATTATTATTATTATTATCAATATCATTATTATTATTGTCATGATGGTTATTATTAATATATTGTAGCCAGTCACAGCAGGGAAGCTCTATACCATCAACATATAACAGGACAGGAGATGAGGAAGAGTTCAGGGAAGACACAGAGACAGAAAAAGACCAGGATGAGGGAGAGCAGATGGGTGAGGGAAAACAGGGAGATGAGCCAGATGAAAGAAGTATGCTTTAGTCTGTTCTGTTGGTGATGTGACTTTTTTCCATTGAAAACTCACGTTTAGAGAATGTTACAAATAAAAGTCAAATTTCATTCAACATGCGGTTATTTTTTTTTATAATCAAGTGTTACACCTGCGCTAAAAAGTAAAAAGTGCCCCCCCCCCCCCCCCCCCCCCCCCCCCCCCCCCCCTCCTGAGCACCTGCCCCCCAAAATGTCTGTGCACGCCTCTGGTGGTGGCGGCATTAAACTGTGGGAATGCTTTTTTTTTTAGCAGATTTAATTACAGACCTAAGTCCGATAAAAATGTGCTTCAATGACTGATGTTTTCTAACAATCTGGTGCATAATGCAGTGAAATGGTGCAGTGGGCTAAATAGAAATACACGCCACACCCTTCAGAAATGCACTTGCTGGGAAAAAAAAAAACAAAAAACAAAAAAAAAACTTTTTTTTTGAAAGATAGAGAGGGATGTGATGTGCGTGTGGAATTTCTCTTAATTTCTTTTTTTAACTCTCTCTCTCTCTCTCCTCCCTCTCTCTCTCCCCCTCTCTCGGTGTAAATGGTCTATCTACAGCAGCAGAGGGCGGAATAAGGAGCTCTGGGTACGGAAGACATACCCAGACGCCAAAACAGGAAATTAGAGCGGAGGACCCAGTCTGGAAAGGTAGGAAATGGGCTTATTTCTTGTAACTGATCCTAATTCCTACTGTCTTTGGGCTGTAGTCCCCAGCAGCAGCAGTAAAATCTGCCTCGCTCACAGGTTGCGCTGCTGATTTGTTGCGCGTTCTGTTGGTGTGACGAACCTCAGCTACTTGGAGCGCACTGTGTTTATATCACTCTGTGTTTAAACAATAACATCGAAATGATTCTCTATCAACATGATCGAGGCATCAATTGGGTAATTTATTCCGTTTATTGCAGTGGATGCTCCGCTTTTTACACATAGATGGGCAGCAGACCACAGTACACACTGTGCTTTGCATGAATAACGGGGAAAGCTGCCCATAGGAAACTGTATTTATTGTCATCTGTTGATATAAATCGCCTTGTTACTTTCGTTCTCTGATACTTAATGTAAGAGTGATCCTTTTTTATTTTACTTCCCTGTAATTGTGAACTGTTATTATAATCATGGTAATAGATTGAGACAATATCTGTCTTAAAAAATCCAAATGGCAGAAATTGTCAAAAATAGAGTTCAGTTATAATTAAATAATCATTTCACTCACTATATACATTATCTGTATTGCTTTACACTTTAATCATCAGTATCACTCCTTGATGCTCTGCTGATCCTCAAATGCAACCTTAATAGGAGTCAGTCTAGTAATTGCAGCTGATATATTTGCATTAGGATTGTAAGCCCCTAATGGATGGAAACTTCTAAGAGTACAATAGGTTAATGTTATATTTAAATTATATTATGTGGTTGTTGATCCTGAGGCTTAAACTCACCTTTCTGGAAAGTTGTCCAGCAAGTTTAGAAATAAAGTGCCACGAAAAGGTTTTTAGAGGGTGCAGTGATCAGGTTTTTCTCATCCATTCCTATTTCTAATTGCATTTGATCTCAGTTTTCTGGTTTTGACGATAAAATAGAACAATAAACTTCCCTGCAGGCCCTTTGGTAGAGACATACAGTATAACAAAAAGAACTCAACTAAAAAAAAAAGTTTTTCTACTGCATTTTTGCACCATATATATTTGTCTTGAAATGCTCTGAATTTCCACATCAATGCGTTTTACACCATCTTTTTCTCCCACGCTGTTTACATTTGATCACTGCTGCAGTTTATGAAATGGAAATGTTCATTTCACTGCTAGGCTGCTGCTCATCTACTCTCTGAAAGCTCTACAAAACAAAATTTCATTTTACATACACTCTGTGTATAAAAATGACAAATAAAAGTTGTCTAAGTCTATTAATCTTTATGCATTTACACTACTGCTTCCTGTTGATAAGAAAACATAATGTGATATAATTGTTGAATGTTGCAGTTGTCTCTTAAATCCATATGTGATCATAAAGGACAATGCAAGCTTCCAAATTTAGTATTGAAAAAGCAGTTTTACTGGAAGAGACCTAAAATAATATTTATTTGATTAAATGTTGGATCCAAGCCTCCCCTTGCATTTTTTTATAGTGCACAGACTGGTATTAGGATGATTATTGTCTTATATACTGTACACTTCTAACCGTATGTCTCTAACCTTTATTTGAACAATTTTAGTAAAATAAAAGGGCAGCAAACTACATTATGTTGGTCGGTGTCTTTGTAGCTCATAACAGTAGGAGTTAGTTTTATTCACCTTCATTCTATCCTTTATTGAAAGTCTATTCTGATCACTGGGCGGGAGATAATAATAATTGATCTTACATTGGAGAAATATACCTTTGCATTTAACCCATCCCTTTAGGGGAGCAGTGGGCTGCTATTGTGCGGCCCCCGGGGAGCGGTGTGGGGTAAAGGGTCTTGCTCGGAGACCCAGGGTGGCAGTCTGTAGGAGTGGGGCTCAAATTTAGAACCTCAGGATTCCAAGCTCTATGCCCTAACCACTAGGCCGCCATTCCCCAATATCCATCTCCATTATTCTCTACAAACATGTTTTCTATCTGCAGATGATCATATTAATCCTAAAAGGCTGAAAGTTATTAGTTCTGTCTACAAAAAATGTTTACTCTTAGTAAACAGCCTACATGATAAAAAAAAAATATCTGAAATATTCAAGAGGTGGCATATTCAAGATTACATTGTTGTTAATGCCATCCTCAGGTTAGATTCTTACAATGTTTCTTGTATCATTATTGAAAAAATGTATCTATATAAATGTATCTAATGTTTATAATAAACCCCAAAGCATGATGGAACTACCACCATGCTTGTACATTCAGGATTGTTAAAACAGACATTTTTTTTTATGATATTCTGACCTCTCTTAGGTGAAGGCTATGTTTGCAGGTGTGGCTTTATAGTTGACAAGTGCTCCAACACTTTCAAAGTCTGATTATTGCCGCTAAGGACTTTATCTGTTAGGAAGGGTATCTGTTGGACCTATTACAGATCAGGTTCCTCTTCCGGTTTGCTGTGAAGGTTTTCTTGTTTCCACAGACCTCATCTGCTTCATGTACAGTAGGAACTTAGTAATGTAATGTTTTCTGACCTCTCCTAGCTTCATCCAGCTGTCTTTTTTCTCTTTTATAAATATTGCATTAGGTTTAGAGAAAAGTCAGCAGACATGTAGCAATTAATTATCCAGAGATCATATACGGCCAATTTTCTCCTGGTTGGATGATCAGTTAATCAAATTCGGACAAATTTCATTTTCTAGAATTTCAGCAAGATCTCCATCAATCTTAGACTGAAAATCCAACATGTAGCTTGTTTAAAATAAAAAATAAAGGTCTGCAACTTCTGCTTTGATGCATAAATTGAAATGATCTTATGATATCTTTGTTTCTTTTTCAAACCCTTTCCTTTATCAAATGACGACTGCCTGTTTAACAGCTTTTATATGTTCTAGTTAGTAGAATTGGCAGGTCGCACATGAAGAAAATGAATCGTTGGTATTAGCCAGGGCTTTATATATTTCTTGTGAGCATATTTCTGAGAATAGTGGTGACAGCTTGTGAAAGAAGTTCTGAGAAGAAGGAGATGCCTGAAGCAAACTGGCATCATCTGATATTTCAGAAATAACAAACCATGTCTGCACCACGTTAATTACTCTGGATTTTTTCGTTTCCACTCATAAAAACTCTGTCATCTTAATTACTTACATATTACTTTTAATTGAAATAAACATTAAGTAGCTTCATGCATTTTTCTCCATCTCAGTGCATCTAAATCAATTCTTTTTACAGAGAAAAAAAAGTTAAATGGAGGTGCCCAGACATCAGCTGTATTTTATTGATCCCATGATGACAAAAACAATGAATTAGCTCTTTTAAAAGTACTGGTAGTTTAGTATTTAGTGTAAAAAGCACACCCAAGCATATGTTTGGCCAAGAAAGTTATTTATTGGATGTTATCTAATCTTGTTATCTGTTTGCCATCAGGAAAAAATTGCCCTAGCACCAACGGTTTGCTGTTGGCTGAGGAACCTGCAGAACCTGTCTGGACCTGCAGGAAACCACTGGTTTGCTGGAGTAAGACTCTAACTGTGCAATGGCTCTGCTGACCTTGCATAGGATCCCATCCATCTCCACCGCCCCGGTGAGGCTCTAGCCGTCCCCACGTCTCTCTGTACATAAAGTCTCCCCAGATCCCCTGCTGTTTCCTTTATCTGCATATAGATCAGAGCTTTGTTTGGGTGAAAACGCTTAAGGCTGGTGTAAAAAACAAACAAAACAACAACCCCTGAATGTGTCCCTTTGTGGATACCAGCACAGAGTGCACTTGGAAGAGCATTTAATTTCCCTGATAAGTCAGACAACAGATATAATCTAGGAAACCACTTATTAAAGTGAATGAACAGCCTTATTTCTGTGTGAATGCTTTTTGAGGCCTTTAAACAAATGTATATAATCATGTTAACACTTAATCATTAGCAACTGTCTGTCCTATCTTCTCCCTTTCATCTCTCTCACACTTTCATGAAAATAATGTCAAAAACTGTTCTGTTCTTTATCATTGTCCGCTAAACCATAGATGATTTAAGTCTGGCTCCAAGTCTCATTCTTTGCATATTTTGTCACAGAATCTGATCACCAACTATCTTAACTTGTTTTCTCCTTCTTTTTTTTTTCCTTCTTCAACCCCCTCCTCATCGTTCCTCTCCTGGCTCCTGCCTACTTCTCTTTAATTTTCTTTTCTTGACTCTGTCTGGACTTGTCAGTTGCGTAAAAGGTAACGTTACTGTCTCATGTATTTTCTTTTTCTTCAGTGCTACTGCTACTTCTCTTGTTTCTCACTCCTTTTCTATGTTCTTGCATCATGTATCTTCTTTACATTTCTTCTTCTTCTATGATTTTGAACTTTATTTGGTTGCTTTAATCCCACCTCCAGCTCTTGTTTTTTTTTTTGCAACGCATAGATCTAAACAACTTGTGATTGTTTTATACCTTTACATGTGTAGTGGAATAACATGCAGAAATGCTGCCACATTTGTTTGTCTTTAACCAGAGACATACCAGTGGAAAGCATTTGAAACAATGGGAATTGCTGTGCAAGACTTTTTTTTTTATTTAAACACAACAAATTAACATTTTGCCTCAGTATGTAGAATTATATAATCTGCAAAAAAATGGCATTGGTTTTAATGTGGGGTAAATATTTTTTCATTACCTAAATGACGGATTTCTTCAAAGTCAGAAGTTTACGTCCTGTAAGGTAATGATTACTCTAAGCAAACTGGGAAAGCCTTGATAATGATATCATATAATTCAGATTATGAAAATTGTAATGATGGATTGTTTTATGGCTTGATTCAAACACACTTACTGGTGTGTAAGGATTGGGAAACCAGAAAGGGAATCGTTCACCCCCATAAATCGGGTTACCACATACGAACAATTTCAAGATTCCTGAGTTTGTCACAATAAACTGTTCTGACAAGCATAAACAACTTTGGAACGTCCGTCTGCCTGAGATTATAGGAGGAATATGGGTTCTGTGTCCCAGAAAACATGTTTCGTTGCAAAACTTGTAACTAAAGTCCAGCTGCTTAGAGAATCACCCTCCTTTACCAGCATGGGCTAAAATGTCATTCATTAAGGAAGAAGCCAATTCTGCAAAAAGATTTAAAAAATGATTTGCAGTTCTGTGGTTTGATCAAACCCAAGTTTACCAGTTATACATTGTGAGGTTAAAGAGCCAAAATTGAAAGCACAAGAAATCCTTGGCTGGTCCCCTACAATTCCTTTTAAACATCAATATTTGTACTAAAATATTATTTCTGTCATGATTTGTGGACATTAAGATATAAAGAGAAGTGTTATCTCCTGGCTCAGACCCTGTAATTCAGTGAAAGGGTGGAGCCAGAGTAAAAAAAATATGCAAGAGGGGGTCACTACAGTGGCTGGAAGATGGAGGGAAGTGGGCTGCCATTTGGCTGGGGTTTGACTGGCAAGGGCCATTTTGAATGGTTGCTACTGAATATGTGAGGTACAGAGGTGGCAGCATCATGCCTCTGATTGGTCTTCCAAGTGAGCAGAGACCCTGAGCACACCACCAAATTTAGTCACAGTGTGGCTTAACGACAAACAAAATGTTTTTGTGTAGCCATCACAAAGAGGTGATCTCAGCCCAATAGAAAATATGTGGGCAGAGCTGAAAAGGTGTGTGCAAAGAAGGTTGCAAAAACAACCCGACTGAGTTACACCAGTTCTGTGAGGAGGAACGGGGCAAACTTCAAGCAAACTGTTGTCAGAAGCTTTTGAAAAGGATCTCCAAAACATTTGACTTTGAATGGTTGACGGTAGTGGTGTAACATATCGTAAACTTCTGAGTTTTAAGAAATTAACAAATATAATTATAAAAAAAATAATAATCATCAAAGGGGAAAAAAGGGTTAATTTATACCTATCCAAGAGGGAGAGTCAGCGCTGGTAAAGGCTGTAAAGAGGTCAAATATCTGCAGGGGTATTAGAGACTATATATATATATATATATATATATATATATATATATATATATATATATATATATATATATATATTTTACTGTTCTATCTCACTAATGAATTTGTATGTATTTTGAAGGATGAAGGCCTCCAAAAGAAAGGACGACTTCAGAAAAGGTAGGTCTTTACCAAATTTAAATAATCTAAAAACTAAAAACTAATTGTTCTCCATGTCCAGAGAGAGTTTCGCTCTGGTTAAAGGAGCGGCCCTCCTACTGGAAGATGGCGACGTTGGTGGGCTGGAAGAAGAAACTTCTACTGACGACGTATCTCCTGTGAAAAAAGAAGCATCAGACACGCGGCTCAGACACCTCCACGCCATGCTGGAACAGCTCAGACCAGAGGACACCATCAAGCTGGTGAGCCCTGGTGCCAAATGCATAATGTGATTAAAGCCAAAAAATGAAAAATTAAGGCATGGGGAGAATTTAGTTTAAAAATCCTACTGTGAAGATGATAAAAATGCAGGTTTTGGTCTTATGCTTGCATTAGAATAGATAAAAATATTTATAATTTATAGTTATGTTTAAAAAAAAAAAAACTTTGCTAATGATAATTAATTTATACTGTAATAGTTAATATTTATACTTTATCTTTTCATATTTATATTTCATAAATAAAGTCAGGGGCAGTTTGATAGTCCAGAACTTTCTCAGGCATTTCATTAAAAGCCCTTACATTTTAGGAAAGCTTTGATGGAAATTTTTAGCAGCTTTGAGTCGATATCTTAAAAAAAAACAACAACTTGGGAATCACAAATACCGTTACATTTATAAGAGGTTTATAGCACCTGCTGCTGGAGGCAATTCAGCTTAGATTCTCTTTACATCTGTGTTCAACAGTGTGACACACTTTCAAGATAAAACTGAACCAAGAAAGACAGAAAACAAGGATTTGTATTATTTCCTATACAATCTGCTCATATTTTCTAGTTTTCGCAGTCAGTTAAATGTTTATGCTTCTATCAGGCCTCATGTTGCATGTGAAGGATTTTTATTTTTCTGCACTGACTCGTCCTCTGTCACGTAGGCGGTGGAGCTGGAGTCGGTCAGCACTGTCAGAGTCAGGTATCTGATCGTCGTCTCCACGCTGGCAAGCAAACAAGAGAGCATTCTTCTGGGCATTGATTTTCCCAGCTCAGACAGGTGACAGTAACTCAGATGCCTATTGTAAAAACAGCCTACTGGTTTGCGAATCTAAAATTTTGTCTCTTTGCAGCGATCATTGCACCATTGGCCTGGTTCTGCCGCTGTGGAGCGACACACAAGTCTATCTGGATGGAGATGGGTAGGAGATATTTACAAGATTTAGGAAGAGAGAGAGCTGAAGTGAAACCAGCCTGCAGCCTTGTGTCTGGGTTTCCTTCCAGAGACAACTTGTTATTCATAGAGTCGACTCATTTGCTATAAATTCCACATGCTCATTCTCACTCAGGCTCTTACATAAACATGAAGCTCATGTGTTCGGGGAGAGTTCAGCTGCTGAAAGCTGTGTTAAAAGCATCTAGTGTCTAAATGTCTGCAGAGAGGCAATGTGAAGCAGGGCTAAACATTCAGGCTCACATGGTGTGAGGACTGAGCCTGCTGTGTATTAACTGATCACCCTTCACATGCTGAGTGTAACACTTTGGTTTCAGCCCTCATAAGGCCAGATCACATCTCACACTGAGTCACTTTTTCTCCTATCTCTCCTCCCTCACATTTGCATTTTTACGTTATTTACCTGAATTGTCACTTATGCCTGCTGAATATTTTCCTTTCCCTCGTTCTAGCGGCTGCATTTTTTCCCAGTAATTGTCTCTTATCAGATGTTTTCTTCCATAACGCTCCTTGACTTGTTGCTTTTCCCAGGAGCTCATTATCAGAGCTCATATCTGTGTTTTTTCTTTTTCTTCTTTTGCAGTGGTTTTAGTGTGACGTCAGCAGAGGAGACCAGAAATTTTAAACCCGTTTCCATGCAGACCATGTGGTGAGTACTGCTGACACAAAAGAAGTAAAAACCATAATGATCAGGTGTCTTAGGGAGTGTCGAGGGACGAGGAGGCGCTCGGATTTCAGTTTTTACCCTCAGGCATTTTAGCCCTTTTTATTTCCCACTAGTTCTCAGAAAACTGGGAACAAACTGGAATAATAAAAAAAAGCCTATCATCACAACTATACTCTCTTCTTCAGGTTTTCTCACACCTTGTGTTTACCATTAGTCCAGCACATTGAGACACATTTGTTGCAAATTTCCTACTTCTGAACAAGACAAAAAAAAACGTTTTCATCAATGAAATTTGTTTGTATAGAAATTAGAGGTTTGTTAGGCTCCAGTTCTGCTCATTTTTACCTGCCTGCCCTCACATGGCAGGTACCAACCTGTCAGATCGCTCCAGTCCAACTAGCACCTAAAAACAACATCTCTTGTCCTGTAGATGCTTATAAAGCTAGTTGATAATCTCCTGTCTGAAAAGTGCATTGGTTTGAAGACGTTTCGCTTACCATCCCGGAAGCTTTTTCAATTCAAAATGTCAGAAACAGCATTTATACAGTGGACCAAATCAAAGCCTTTTTTTTCTTAGAAAAAATGCTTTTTTTTTTACAGGTTTGAGAATCTGATTTAGATGAAGTTAATATATTTAGTAAAGAAACCTTCATTTGTCTTTTCTTTATGAAGACAGAGAATAGCACCAATGAAAGAAAAAGGAGCACCACTTAGTCGTGGATACTTTCTCCAAGGGTTATAGACTTTTCTAAATGAACACCTCAGAGATGACTGGCTAAACCTTACTCTTGCTGCTGCTGTTATAGGTGGCATTGTTGGGTTTATTACCCAATCTTCTTCTAAAAACAGCTGAAGCTCAGCTTCAATGGAGAAAATCATACAAGCTCTCTAGATAACAGTCATTGTCCTGCAAAATTACGGCCTTCTTGTCCTCTTCTGTTGCTGCTTTCGGCTTATTTAGATGTTACTTTTTCTTTGGTTTGTAAAAAAAAAAGAAGAAGTTTAAGGGGTGTGAATACTTTCTCAAGGCACTGCCTTTTGGTAATGGCTGTGCTTCTTTCTTAAGACCTGATCTTTCTACCTTGTCTCTGTTTCCTTCAGGTCTATCCTACAAGTCCTGCACGGCTGCTGCGAGCGGGCAGTCAAAGCAGCACTAATCCCAGGCTGTGGGCTGGAGTGGGCCCAGCACTACGCCCAGCACATTGAGTCCGATCGGTTCTGCTTGAACGAATGGGAGGCCATGAATGACCTGGAGTCAGTGCGCCGGGACAGTAGTGGACAAAGGTTAGAGGCTTGTTTCTTTTTATTTTATTTTCTATTTAGATTAGTGATCTGAAACACTTCTGCAACCAGAGGTGGAACAGGAAACTATCTGCATTTTATTTACTGCAAAGTTAAAACAGAACCATCTAAAAGTGCAGCACATCAAGAAGTTAATGCTTTAGCACAATCAATTTTCAGTTGTAATCTTACTTAATATTTGGTTTGAAGTTTAACATGTTTTATCCTTTCATGCAGTTATATAAAATGAGTAAAAAGTTGTTCTGTTCCTGTTTTGCAATGCAAACAGACTGTTGTGGTAAAGCTTCTTATTTTTTATTTTTAAAAAGCTCTGCAGATAGAGTTTCCAATGAAAGGCTAATCAAAGAGAACCTGAGAGACATCATGAGGACTGAAGATCTGGACAACCTCACGTCTAAAATGGTAGGATGCATGGTTAGAGGACAGATAGTAGATCTCAAGTAGACCAGCAGGGTGCTTGAATAGTAGTGAATAGATAAATGTATGCGTTGTTTAAGGTTTCATTTGTTTCTGCAGGTGCACATTGCTCTGGAGACCAGGATAGGGTTTGACATGAGACCCTACAAGGAGTACATAGATAATGAGATCTTGGTTACCATGGCTCAGATGGACAAACCCTCGAAAATATTTGATTACCTTTACTTGGTGAGTAAAGCTGTTGTAAACCTTACCGCAGCGAAGAGGGCTTTCCCTCCATAGGTCAATATAATGACAGAAGCGAGGATGTTGTCACATGACTCCAACTTCCTCTTTGTGTGAGATGGTGTGCTGACAGTGATAGGGAAGACGACTCTGCAGGCCGTTTCCGCCTTCCTGTCTTTTTCACTAACTTGTTTTAAACTATCTATTTTCAGGGCTCTGAGTGGAACGCAGCTAACTTTGAGGAGCTGCAGAAAAACAAGTTAGTGTGTGTTATAGTGTCTGTAAATGTGTCTGTCTCCAGATGTTTCATGATGAGTTTAATTCAGAAGTATGAGTTTTTGTCTTTGCAGAGTCACTAACGGTGACTCTGCTTCTGTGTGCTTCTCAGCGTTGGCTACATTCTCAATGTCACAAGAGAGATCGACAACTTTTACCCAGAATCCTTCACCTACATGAACATCAGAGTGTACGACGTGGAGGCCACCGATCTGCTCTCTCACTGGCCGGACACATACAACTTCATTAACTCTGCAAGGTGGAGCTGATTCGCAAGTTTAAAACCCTTCATGACTCACAGTTTGAATTAAAACATATTAGATGACTTCTAGAGCTGAATGACTGTGAGGAAACATGGTCTGCCCGGGTTTCCCCGACCCTCACCTTCATGGTCCACAACCTGTATGCAGTCCTCACAGAGATCCATTTTATGATTATTCTAAAGCTTATTTTAGTGTAAAACTTACTGAGCCCCTAAAGGCACACTGAAGAGAAATAAAAAATGTTCTCTTGCACACCAGTTATAGTTTTGCAAAGTAGATGTTGCAACGAAGAGGTCTGGTTCTCCTAAGTTAAACGCCTCTTGGATCAAGTTCTTTTAATATGGCCTGTACTTATATATTCCCTGTACTTACTGTATAAAGAACTTTTTTAATTCAGGAAACTTGACCAATGCACTTTACACTACATTCAGTCATTCATTCATCCATTCATTCATTCATTCATTCACACACTGATGGTGGCAAACTACATTGTAGCCACAGCTGCCCTGGGGCTCACTGACAAGCTAGGCTGCCATACATTGGCACCAGCGGGCCCTCTGACCGCCATCAGTAGACAATGCCGGTGAAGTGTCTTGCCCAAGGACACAACAACACTGAAAGCCAAAGCTGGAGCCCTCCAATTGAAGGCCAAACTCCTGCACCTGAGGCCACAGTCACCCCAGTGGCACAGACCTCTAATTTTTTACCTTTAATCCATTTTCCAGACATTTTTTAAACATCCATCTCTATCCGTGCAGTTGACCAGTGGTTTGCAAGTGTGTGTGAATGAACATAACAACATAATCAATGTTTGTGTATCCTCTGGGCCGAAATAGACCACAAAACTTCAGGATACCTTTTAAGTGACGTTCAGACACAACATAATGGTGACATCTTGCATGCAATGCAGCAATGTCTTTGTATGGTAGCCCAAAATGAAAATATAGTCTAATTGGTTCATGTTCATCCATTTTAATGAATACTGTTGCCCGAAATGCGCATGCGTTCGAACGAGAAACTAACTGGTGCACAGGAGAAAGTATTTGGTGCGCACAAGAAACTAAATGGTGCCTACAACAAACCAACTGGTGCACAAGAGAAACTGGTGCACACGAGAAACTAACTGGTGTGGACAAGAAAGTATCTGATTCACACAAGATACTTTCTGGTGCACACAAGAAAGTTTTTTTTTTTTTTTCTTCAGTGTCCCTTTAGGGGCTTAGTAAAAAAGTGGTACAATTTTCTCAAGTATTAGTGCAGCGTTTCCTAAACGTTTCAGCCTGTGACCCAAAAAACTGTACTAGAATATTCTCAGTATTGACTGAAATACCATAACTTCTAAAGATAATAATAAAAAATATTAACCATAGTAATAAAAGCGTAATGTTAACAAAACAGACCAAAATTCCATTAATTTAGTTTTGTCCATTTCTAAGTTGTACTTTAACATCTTTAAACACATAAATAAGCTTCATCATGACCATTTTCATTGTGTAGGATAATTTCTTTAAAGGATCTCAAGTAATTGAGATAATTGTAATTGTTGTTCCATGACTCTGAAAGGGGCCCTGACCCTCAATTCTGGAATTAGTGTATTGGTGAAATGTATGTGCATATTTAAGCGTGTATTTAAATGTTCTGCTTTATCAGGATCAGGGAAAATTCACAGTAAATTAAACATGACATGTTTTAACCTTATTTGACCCCAGATTCTAAATCAGTTGACATATTTCCCTTTTCTTTTTTTACTATTATATTTTTTTTTTTTTTTATGCATCTCAACATTTGGCTGTAAATCTAGTAAATGATTAGGGCAGATTTACTGCTATAACAGATCTGGTGGAAACATACTTGCATGCAAGTCTGCCCCATGAAATGACAACTAAAAGAACTGTTACAGAGAAACCTTTGATTTAAAGGAGCAACCGCTCATATTGATGATGAGGTTTCTGAGTTGTTAGATGTAGCTGTTAGGGATTTGTTCATGAATTTTTAAAGCCCTTTGATGAGCAGTAAAATATGCCTCAGAGAGTAGAGCAGTCAGCCCGTTAATGTTTATCACATTTGGGTGAGATGTGTTGTAATTTGGACTTTGTGCTAAGCTTATTTGGCACCACAGTACAAGTAGATAAGTTCTGAGGCACACTTTTGATTAAATATGTCAGGAAAGTCAAAATTCTTGATCTTAACCACATTTTTGTTTTAAAAACTTTATATTTACTCCTTTTGATTCTGTCTAAAAAACATCACTTCAACCAAAGTCTCTTTGTTGGATTCTCATTAAAAACAAAAAGCTGTTAAAGTCGACGGTTATTTAGTCTTTTTTTGTCTTTTTCCCAAATCTACAAATACAGCATATTTGAGCTAAAGAACTGAGAGAGAAAAAGGAAGCTTCTCCATTTTCTAGTTTTGTTTTAACGTAGAAAATCGGATGTTTGAAGATTTCCCCATCAACCAGCAGTTATCTTCCACATGTGCTGCCCTTTGAACCCCTGAGCGATTACGCCTCATTTGTGCTTCACAGGAAGAGTGGTCAAGCGGTGCTGGTGCACTGTAAGATGGGCGTGTCCCGATCTGCATCCACGGTAATCGCCTACGCCATGAAGCAGCAGCGCTGGTCTCTGGATGAGGCGCTGGCCTACGTCCGGGAATGCAGGTCTATTATCAAACCCAACGACGGCTTCCTGAAGCAGCTGCAGACCTACAGTGGTATCCTCAGTGCAAGGTAGGACCTGATGTCACCTCCACCAAAAGAACATCTGAATGTTAATTTGTGTGTGAATGTCTGAAGATATCAGTCACATCAGTGCTTTAATGTTTGTTTGTCTGTCTTTGCAGCCAGCAGCGTCACAGCGCTCTCTGGAAGCCCAGACAGAAGTCTGTGCGAAAGGAGCAAAGTGCGCAAGATGGAAAGCCAGGAGAGGAGGAAGAGGATGAGGAGGAATATGATGACGAGGAGGAGGAGGATGACAGCTCAGATGAGGAAAATAATTCAGAAGAAGACCAAGAAGTAATCCTATCACTTCTACAAAACAAACCTGCCATTTTTTGTTGTTTTTTTTCAGGCTAATTGATCTCAATTTGTTTCTCAAACACATTCAGGTGTTTGAAGAAAAAGCTCCACCATCTGACATCCAGGAAGTAGAAGGTCCCACCATCACTATAAATGAACCGGACAAGGTCAGCCAATCGGATTACAGGACAGAACATGCAAAAACGTTTGATCTTAAGACACTGATGATTCACCACATATTGCTTTAATCCAAAGGTCGCTCCAAGCGTGAACCGCAGTGGCAGGATGAACCTGTTCTCCCTCATGCAGTCCATCAGTGAAATGGATGACATGGAAAAGGGACATGAAACGGTAAATATTATCATTAAAAGATGTTTTCAAAAGATATAAATATAAAAAATATAGCCGCCGATGTCTGGGGGACAGTAATTCGCCTACATAAGTGAAAATGGGGACAAGCACACAGGACGTAACGTAAACATATCACCAGAGTGATTGACAATTTGGAGTACCACTTAGTTTGAACATCCACCAAAAAAAAAAGAACATCCTCCTCTATACCTTTAACTAAATCCTTTGGGTAAACATCTACAAACAGATGTCTTTGAAAAGTATTTAGAAAACTTTCAAAGAAAGCATCAGGTATTTTTTTTTTAGCATGTTTTTTTCCCCCCGTTCAATCTGTTTCATTTTATTCATAAAAGTTTTCAAACACTTTCTGCTGCGTATCATCCCCCATTTCTTTCTTTGCATGGATTCTCTGCACATTTAAATCTGCCCTTTTATAACAAACTCTGTTCAACTTCTGTGCAAAGCTTCCTGGCAGTCCGAGACGCTCTCCTAAGCAGCGGAGGCGCAGCCAAGGCCGACGGCTGACCCACCAAAAAGCGTGCTTAGATGTGTCGCCAGAGCCACGCTCCCTGCCGGACGATGGACGAAGTAATCACTAAAGTGGACAAAAGCCTGGACAATCAGGGAGGCACAGGAGGGAGGGGGTTCAATAAAGGAAATCCTGATGGGGGAGGAATCCAGGAACAAAGCCAAGGCAGTTCTGTTGAAGATGTAGTTGATTTTGCTAGGCTTGCATTGCATACCTGAGCTCCTAGTGATACCTGGGTTATTACTCTCTCTGCAGTATTGCTGTAACACTCCCAGCCTGGATTTCATTTAGCTCATGTCAGTCTGTCAAATGGTATTATGGTTATAAAATCTTGTCACCATGATCCCACAGACCCTCCCTCCTGCCCACTGGAGTTCACCCTTCAACACTTCAGAGAGATCTATGCAATACCTGTAATCTCTCCCCCGCTGATGAACACACGGCTTTTTAAACGACCCCATCACACCTTCTGCTTTCTAAGATCTCTGCTGGAAGGATTTCACTGTATCAAAGCTGTGCATTACGGACCACGTTAAAGGCCAGTTTTATGGCGCATGCTTGATTGCCAAACTGTTTTTTTATGTGCCAGTAAATCTATTTAATTATATATATATATATATAAAAAAAACAATAAGGAACAATTGTAGATGGTTTTTATTCTGATGTATTCACCAGGAGTGCATGAGTGCCTTTAACCTGAGAGTTAAATATTTGCTGGATTTTTTGTTTTTATCTCTAAGATGACTCCATCTTGGATCTTTCCTAGTTTCTCTGCTTCATCCATGTGATTTCCAGAGATTGTGCTTCTTTACAGTATAGAGGACTCCATTTGTATTTGCTGGTGGTCTGGATGCATTTGTTTGTGTTTATATACCAGCCTACAAGACCAAATTGTTCAGGGTTTCTTCTTGTGTGTATTTATAAGAATTGTATTCTTTATTACCCAGATGTCACCAGATGCCAACATGGCTCATTTCATGTTGGTTGTATCTTTGAGTGCATCCAAGCTAAATAATTCATTAAACCTGCATGTGCACAATGAAAATCAATTCCATTCACTTTATATTCCCACACTGTTCACACTGCCTGAGGCAAACCTGCACTGTACTGTGATCTGATTGGTAACTTTAAGTTGCACCCAAAGCTGTTCTATTGTTGTGGCGAGTACTTGGCTTTCTACAGCTCACTCCTGTTTACGAAAAACTCTGTGGCAAATAAAGACATCCTAACCAAGTCATTTAGTCTATTTATTAACAAACAACAGGAGATCAGATTTATTCATTAGACACATGACAGTATTCATCACATTCTCCTTTATTTCAGCCTTTCTAATGTAAATATCTGTACAGTAATGTGACAAAAGAAGGTTTTATAGATACAATGGACGTTTATAAAAGCAATATATGGGAAGGATGCTGCACTTTAGGTCCCAATGTATTTCCTTCTGGGTTCACTGAGGATGACTCCTCCCTGTTTCATCGCAGCTCTGAAGGCCTGAACCTGTGAAGAGGAAAAAGATGAAACTTAAAAAAAAAAAACCAGTAAAAATCCATAAAAAAAACATGAATGCTACAGTCCTTAAAATTAATATTTTGACAGCTCTTCTGTTTACTTTTTTGTTCTCAAAATTTAAATATCAAAGATAATCTGAGAAAAAAGCTGGGAGTTTTTCATGTTTTAAATGAAGGCAGCCATGAATGAGTCACTTCGTCAGTCTAACCACCACTGTCAGATTTCTGACTTTGCAAGACTATTTTATTTCTCCATGAAATGCCCCATTGATATCAAAGTCTAAATAAAAAATAGAAAATCTATAAGGAGGAAAATACTTTTCACAAAAAAATGCATTTAAAAAAATTCTGATTCTTGCCTTGTCGTTAAAGTTGTGGACTCATGTTCTATCTTCTGGTGCAAATGCCTGGAGACACTGCATTTGTAAATAGCCCACTTTACAAGGTTTATACAGGAACAAGTAATTTAATGCTTTACGATCAACTGGAAGGAGTTCCGCACAAACACATGGTACGAGTTATATCTGTTATAATATATCTGACGAAATTGTTTTATGTATAAATGTATATATTTTTTTAAAAGCATTCTAAATGCCACTATAATCTAATTAAATGAATTTTAATGCCTATTAAGGCCTTAATTCAAAAAATTATAATTGAATGACTTTTAATGTTTTTTTAATGACCCGCAGAAACCCTGCTTTATTATGGGCCGTTTAAGTTTTTATTCATGTTCCTCGCTGAAAGCAGCGCACAGTAATTAGCATCTGAAACTTTGCCTGATGTATTTCTAAAGAAAAAAAAAAGACTTTTCTAAAAGAGAAATGAAAAGAAAATATTTTTTAAGAACCCTACATCTAAGCACCTTTGCTATAAGTAGTAACACTTTCTGGGTAGAAATACTTACTGCGTCTGAGCGGTAAGTCCAGGGAATCGCCCTGTACACCATCCTGGTGATGCCCGCCTGCTGGCATCGTTGCGCCAGAACCTCGCCCACAGCCTGACACGCCGCAACACAGTTTGTGGAAGCCAGCTCCTTCTTTATGGCCCACTCCTTGGTGGAGCAGGAGAGAACGGGAACAAGCGAGGTACAGGAGAACACCTCCGCCGTGACATGGTGCTGGCTGCGAGTAAACATCAACCTGAAATGATGAAAGAACCAGGAGATGGTCTAAATATTTTAACATGGTGAGTTTCAGGAAAGTTCAACCTTTTTAAATTTAAACTGTTCTTTCGTCTGTAACGACTGTTTTCTCTAACCACAAAGGGTTGAATTTATCAAATCCTTCACTTTTACTTCAAAATAAATAATTTTTCCTCAGCTAGATGCAAATTGTAAATATTCTAACATGACTGGAACAGTCATAAAGATGCTTTTTCATCCATCTAAACCACTAGTATTTAAGAGTTAAAACTACCGCTGAAACAATCGAATGAATCATGATTAATCGATTATTGAAATAACTGTCAACTAAATTAGTAATCGAATAATCATGGGAGTATAGCGACTCTAAAACATACCTTTAGCTGACAGAGCAACAGAATTAGAGCTGTAATTATGCAAAGATTGTACAAAAATATATATACATTTTGCATTTAAGATAAAAAAAAATGTGCCCTTCAATATGCTCTATGCAGAATTCCTCAAGTGTAAAAGTTTGTTTCACCTGGTTTAATTTTGTGAAAAGTCTTCTTTAAAGAATCTTTGGCTATCCAATTATTAATCGATTAATGTAAAAATAATCGACAGGCTAATCGACTTTTAAAACTTATCATTAGTTGCAGCCCTAAAAAAAACAAAACTCTACTAACCTTGTTTCTCTCAATACTTGAAATGGTGGAGGTTCGCCCAACATTACTACAACAAAGAGGTATAGTGACTGAAAACCCACCAGATAGAAACCAAAAAAAAAACAACAAATCTGTCTTTTGCGGAGTGGCGGCCTAGTGGTTAGAACATTGCGCTTTGATTCCTGAGGTTCTGATTTGAAGCCCCACACCTATGACTGACACTCTGGGTCCCTGAGCAAGACCCTTTAACCCCCCAAGTGTTCTTTGGGAGCCACACCATGGCAGCCCACTGCTCCCCGAGAGGATGGGTTAAATGCAGTGAATGAATTTCATTTATTTGCACTTGTTACCGTGTAATGACAATAAAGGTGAATTCTAATTCTTTTTTTTTCTGTTTCTTATTTTTCCCTGTAATAATCTCCATACTGTCATAACCAGTGGTGCAGTGGGTAGCAATGCTGCCTTGCAGCAAGAAGGTTCTGGGTTCAATTCCTTGCCCAGGGTCTTTCTGCATGGAGTTTACATGATCTCCCTGAGCGGTTCTCTCCGGGTACTCCGGCTTCCTCCCACATTCTAAAAACATGACTGTTGGGTTAATTGGCTTCTCTGAATTCTCCTTAGGTGTGAGTGTGTGTGTGAATGGTTGTTTGTCTCTGTGTTGCCCTGCAATGGACTGGTGACCTGTCCAGGGTGTACACCGCCTCTCGCCCATAGACAGCTGGGGATAGGCAGCAGCACCCCTCGCTTGGGATAAGCGTGACGGAAAATGGAAGGATGAATTTCCATACGTTATACATGATTATACTAACTTACCTACAAATCTACTCTTGCACGTCCATATTCATGTCTACATTTGTAAAGAAACTGTAACCGATATGGCCCCATGTTCTCATGCAGGTACGGAGAGTCAAAACTGAACTGGATAAAAAAGCTTTTAAATTCTTCACCCCATCGGCATGCAATAATGCAGAAAAGGACTTGGAACGATGTTTTATCTCTGCAGGAATTCAAATCTTTAATAAATGAAAGATAAATAAAAAAAATCACAACTGGATGCTGGTACAGCACTTTGTAAACTACTCATCTTGTCTGTAAAGTATTTCTTCTATGGGTAAGATTTATACTTGTATAATCCCCTAACAAACATTTCAATAGTTTATTGTTTTTATTCCATATTTCTTCTAGCTCATGAGATATTAAAGAAGAATCTGATCAGTGATCAGTTTCCTGTAACCAATGAAAGATTTTATGCATACATTATTGATAATGTTATTGTTTTCAGACTATTTAATGCTGCATTTCAAAGCTATCTGATCATGCTAAGGTATCTTATGTTTCTTTTTGAAGTTAATATTTACTTCATATACTATATATATGTAAGTATTACGTTGTAAATGTACCATATATTATGAAATATATCACCAAATCATCCTAGCAGGTTTGTTATTTTCATCTCCTGATATCTCACAGGGAAATATCTTTAAGTTCTTATTAAGAGTATATTAGCTACATCCACTGCAAATGTTGTAATTATTGGAGCCATATTAAATCAAAGGGCCACCAAAAGCCATTATAGCTTTGGAAAAGGGTTAATGTTTCATTCTGGGAACGCCTTTCCTTCCAGCTCCAAAGAGGCGATCCGTTTATTTTCACCTGTGGTAGAACTGCTGATGAGGCCAGGTGGTCTTCCAGCCCCGGTCCTTCACTGCTAGCACCAGCTGCTCCAGGTTCCGCGGGTTTCTGTTCACAAAGGTCGGGCTCACGGCTTCGTTCTCATCCAGGATGGGTTCGGGCTGAGCCGAAGCCTGACTTAAACACCGAGCTAATTAAAGAAAAGCCCAACCTAGTTACCAACAGCGACTCAATAACAACAACATTAATTATTTTTATGTTTTTTAATTTTATATTTTGGTGTTTTTTTGTAACTCACCTGAGTGCTTTGAAGCAAAACCCGAACCACCCCGGTGAATTTGACCCAACAGCCGAACCAAACCGCTGATTTCCTTCAGAGCCATCTCTATTAAGCTTTCTGCCACTTATAGAATTAAATACAGTCTATTATATGAAATCCAAGAACACTTTGTGTCCTTAGACAGTTTAAAACTAACGCATTTCTAACAAAACACTGACTTATAAGGTTTCACCGTGTCAAGGAGAGCGCCATCTTTGACACCCCAACGACATCCGGTTCACTCGACTCGGTGTTACTTTGAAAGAAGCACGGACAGAAACAGGCGCTTGTATTTTACAAGGCCTTTCAAACTAATGATACTGTGGGAAGAGCACAAATAAAATATTTGTTGTTTTAAATAATAATGCTAAATATAAACATAAAAATAGGACAGCATTCTAGTTCATGGCTTTCCACTGTTTTAGCTTCTGAAAGATAGTAATAGGAATAGGTGTTCTTCAGATGAATCTCACTTCTTTTACCTAGATTTAAATATATACATCAAGGATTAAAGCAAAAAAAAGAAAATCCTGAGCCTGAATTTTTTCGACACAGGTGAGATATATATATATATATCAGGGATAAAAGTAATCAAAAGTCTAATTTAGTCTTCAATCATTCATACAATGTCTGATCCCATGCCCCCACATGCATATATATATATATATATATATATATATATATATATATATATATATAGATATCTCTATATATAGATAAATATATATAAAACCCTGTCCCACATAATGATGCTGCCACCACGTAGTGGCTTTTCTTCATCATTCATGGGGAGATTTACAAAGCTCGTTTTACTCTAGGAGAATCTGTTTGACGTTTACCTTCCAGGCAATGACTACAAGTGAGTTCGATTAAAGAGTGTTTGTTGATGGCCTAGTCAAAGCTCACACCCAAATCCAAATGAAAACATGTCAGGACATGAAAATAGCCGTTTACAGGAAACGTCTCAAAATTCAACCTGACTTAATGTGAGCTATTGTGCTGTAGGCATGGCCAAAAAGTTTCAGCTGCCAGATGTGCAGTGTTGGTAGTAACCTATGCCCAAAAGATCTGCAGTTTTGAGCACAAAAAAATAAATAAATAAATGATGAGAAAAAGGTTATAATTTTTAAGGGGTGTTGGGTGAAGTTGGTTAGAATTCCACCCCCACCACTTTCTTTGACAAATACAGAGCTTAAATTTCAACACCAATTTATTTAGAGTTTATTGTTAAAAGTTTTTTATTAAAGTCTTCAATAATTACTATGCAAACCTGTCATTATGATAGAGTAAACATTCCTCATAAAGAGTTTGGATTAGCAACAAGTCCACATGTATAAAAACCAAGCTTCACATAGTAGTTATCAGGAACAACACTTTATTTAATTTCCAATTTGATTAAATGCAATCAGTTAAATTGAAAAAAAAAAACAAAAACAAAAAAACATGCCAACAGAAAGGCTTGAAGTGGCATAAGAACAGCAGCAAAGATTTAAACATACCGGCTTCAGTAAGGCACTAGAAAAACCTGTTGGGACACGATCATGAAGGAAAGTCTTTGGCTTTTAAATATCATTCAGACTAAATTACCAAACAAGACCAAGTCAACCCTGTCGAATTCCCCTTTACTGCAAAAAGATTCATCAGCACAAGGTCTTTCCCTTTTCAGAATTCATGTTTTCAAATAATCACACAGAAAAAAGTTACATAACATTTTGAACTTGCATATAAAAAAAACCCCCAAAAAACTACTATGTTGTATTACAGTTTAAAAATACCAAAAAGGGAATAGAGGTGTAGTTTTCATATAATGGGTTCATAATTAAGCAAGTGGTTGTACCTTTCTGTTGATATAAAAATAACAGTCTTCATTTTTCATCCTGATTATTGTGTAAGTTAATTAAACCTTTCATGGCATACAGGTGGTAGAATACCATTAAGATACAGAAATGCTTTAGTTAATTTAACATTTTTGTAATTATCTGGCTCATCATATTGCAGGTGCAGCGTTGATCAGTGAGGCGAAAGAGAACGGGCTGAGTTTGTAGCCTGTTCCGCTGTAGAACTTATTCTGAAACTCCACCCTAGAAGAAAGACAAAGCGAGGATTAATGAGACAGAAGCTGCAACCCATGGCTCTGATTAGACCGTCCGCCACTGTGACACATATTCACAAGGCAATGTGGAAACACAGCTGACTCATTAAAGAGATACAGTGCTTGCATGCAATCTTCACAATCTTACCAGTGCAGACGGAGCGCATGTAGAAAAGCTGAGAGCCCCTCCATGACCAGGAGGATGGAGACGGTCAACACAGCGAAGAAGGCAAAAATCACACTGAGCACAACGGATCCGACATAGTCTTTCCAAGTCAGGGCAATACGCATGACCATGACCCACAGCACCTCTGACAGCTCTGTGGAGAAACAACTGAGTCAGAGTCACAGAGTAAAGGACAAAAAATGGCCAGATTTGTTCTAAAGAGGAAAAGCTGTTGTGCACATCATGTGTCTGTACTAACGTGCGTGAGCCAAACTGAGGGCCCAAAGCCGCAGGTAGGAGGCTGTGTTGGAGATGCAGCCCAAGCAGTACTCAATAGTGTGGATGGCCTGATGCATGAACACATCTGCTGCATCAAACTCCTGCTGGGGATGTAGATCAGATTGTTAAATGAGAAGCACGGGTGCAGCAAAGAAAATTAAGTCTGCTTTATGAATTCAATTACAGTTATCTCCTCTGCAGCCGCTCCTGCCTCCACCTCCCCCTGGCCCGTGTTGACTGAGCCTTCGTCGGCCACCAACGGCCGTCTGTCCTCATCCTGTCATGGAGAGAAAAATCTGATTTAACAAACCAATGACCTTTAACAATCTTAAAAAGAGATTAAGCGCACTAAATCAAAGACTTACTAAGTGTTGCCGCCGTCTTGATTTATGGGAGACATATTCACACACAGGTTTCCCCAACAGGAGGACAGGGACTGAACACAGAGCCAGAACAACCAGGACCTTCTGCACTATAAGCTGTAAATTAGGAACAAAAATACATTCAACAACAAATAGTCTAGTTGTAATAGTGCATAAAAAATATATCTTCCGGGGGGAACCCATACAGGTCAATAAAGTGAGCAACAGTTGCTCCACTGTTTGCAATTATTAGGTTCATGTGCTCCTTATAAAAGTGGAATCTGGAGTCTGACAGTAATCTGCTTAACAATATCACATTTACAGAACCGGCTTACTTCCAGCAGCAGGCAAAACAAGTAAAGTACAGAATATTTACAATCTACTTCTAAATAATACTACAATTTAAAAAAAAAATCAATTTTATTATGTTACAGCTGGTTACTTTTGACTCTTTTAGATTTTTATGTATTAGTTAAAACAAGGTAGGGTACAATTAGGAGGTGAATTGCAAAACGATTCACAAATCTCAATAAAAAAATGTTGATATGTGACAATAATGCACCCCAAAGGCTATAAACGTCCTTCCGAGTGCACCATACCATCATTACGACATGGTGGTGGTAGTGTCATGCTCTGGGGTTGCTGCTTACAGTGGATGGAGTCTGTAACCTGTTGGATGCTGCAAAATACTTAAAACTGAAGTAAAGGTAACAACACAAAAGAACGTATATATGACCCTAAACATAAAGCCAGGCCTAATGCTATGGTTTAAAGTGTATTCACGTTAGACTGGCCTAGTCAAAGGCCAGACTTAATCCAGACCAGTCTGATAGAGGTTGAGCCATTTTGCAAGGATGAAAGAGCAAATGTTTCACTCTGTAAATCTGTAACTTGGAGCTGGAAATCAATGAAAGGGCAGTTCTACTAGTTGTTGACACTAAGGGGGGGAAACAACTGAACACCACAAGTTGAAAACTATCTAAATGTGAGAATGCTCAAGGAGTTTAAAACTAAAATTAGTATTTCCCCCTGTGAACCAGAAAAATTGATACATCCAATGTCTTTCTGTGCTAAATAAGAAAGAAATTCATGTAGAACAAGCTGCATCACATGTTTGTCTGCTGACACACTGAGCACACACCTGCCCCGTGAACAGCTGGGGGTTCTCTGGGTTGTCTGTGAACAGGAACATGTCTATAAAGTGGATCAGTATGCTTGGGGCGATTCTGGAGTCAGCTGGAGTGTAAACGATCCATTTAAAGACCACCATGAAGACGAGGTACCCGAAGAGGCACAGCATGAAGAACAGCTCGGGGATCAGCACAAAGAATATACTGCTGATCTTCCCAAAGTGCCTGAAAGAAGCAGAGAGAAGAAAGCAAAAATTATTCTGCAGAAAATTAAACTGGGACATAAAGAGATGAGAAGACGACTTAACGGACGCAACAGTGGAGATGAGTTTGGAAGAAATGAATAAATAAGACATGATCACTAACCAGTAGTTAAAGAACGATAAGCAGACCCCAAACGTCATGTGAATGATGCCGACAATGACCGACATCTTCATCTTGTATGAATTAAGGAAGGTTAGTTTGTTGTTCGCCAGACCCCAGATCTGTCAATAATGACAAATAAGGCAAAATAAGATGAAGTTCAAATAATAAAGAGATAAAAAAATGAATAAAGAAATCTGAAGACTGTACCGGATCAATCCCGAAGGGATAGGGACTGGTGAAAACCCCGGACACATTAGGATCCAAAGACAAGTACTGGTTTTCCTTCAGCACCAATGAGCTGAAACAGGAAGGTAAGAAATAAGGTGCGGAAACCACAGTTGCTGCAACATTGATAAGAATATAAGAATGACTCAAACTTTTTGAGCAAAATAATGACTTATCCTCACTTCCAGATGTTCTTTTCAAACATCGGCCCCACGTGCCAACCAGAGCTAAAGGTTGTGATGCCTCGGCTAAAACACTCGTTGTAAATGGCTCCGGTGTAGATAGAGAAGAGGCCCATCAGCAGGATCAAATAGCGTCCTCCGAACATCATCCTCCAGATCTGAACACAGAAACTTTTCATTCACAGGCAGAACCTCGGTTTGCACCACTCCATGATTAAAATCCCTCAAAAACAATTACAGCTACTTTCAGGAAGGCCATGCCAACATTTTATAAACATTAGGACGTATGGATAAAACTTAGAAAGGACCAGCTATGACTGCAGGGAAGGGTTGTCACGCTGCTAAAATTTCAAACTTGATATTAATACCCAGAAAATATTCAATATCTTTATTTTAAATAATTCCAGTTTTAGGTCTAGAATTCAATTTCAAATCTAAAATTCAGATTTCTTTTGTCTCACACATCTGGGTCCTTGTGAAAGAGTAATCGAACACAGATTTACTTCATGTCAATAACTAGCAGCAAAACTCTCATTAAAAGTTTAACATGCATGAGAAGTGCTGGGTAAAACAAAATTTATCACGAATAGTAAATGTCTATATTAGAAGCTGTGCTAATATAAATCAACTTCTGCTACTTTAACATGACACTGCCACTTGCTGCACGTTATCCTAATTTAGTGTCATAAGTTACCAGCATCAAGAAGCATAGCTGGTACATGTAGCTTATTATTGGCACAGAAAAGCCAATTAACATGTGTAAACATTTCTAGATATATGTATAAAACTTAGTTTTCACTAGCATAATTTTTTTTTTAACCTTCTAAAATTCAGTTTCTGCAACAAAAATGTAATTTAGAAAAGATATTACAGTTAGGTCTAGGAGTGTGATTTCGATCATGAACAATCTTACAAACGGAACAAGAGAGAGGAGTCCTTTTAATAAATGTAATAACGACCTGCCATAGGACACTTCATATAAAATTATGCATTAACTGGAGCAACAACCTTCTCCTTCGCCATTGTCCACTCCTTTGTAGCTGTAGTGCTGTTTCTCTGTCTTTTAAACACATTCTCCCTTTTTTTTTTTTTTTTGCATTTCTACATTAAAATTTCTAGACCCAGTGGGGTGAAATAGGGACTTCCTGTTGCCGGTGGTCATAGTTAATGGTCGAATCGGTGGTCCACTGATAATGGCTTTTCATACTTGTTGCCGACTTTAGGTCAGATCTATTTAGAGTTGCGGATTTGAATCTAACTTTTTGTTAAATCTGCTTTGTGAAACGGACCTTTGGTCTTTTCCAAGGATCCCAATGATTAGCTCACAAAAAGAAATAATTAAATCTGTATTTTAGAATAGAAATTGAACTAAGGAACTCAAAGAGAAATGTGTCGAACTAAATATTCGTTTTACATTAATAAATACAGTTTTAATTTACTTTCAAACCACAACATTTAATTTAGAATTTTACACATACATAAATACAATCGAATTCCGTTTCTGGCAGCTTAGGTTTCTGCTCATATTAATATCCTGCCCAAAGTTAGTTTTCAGTCATTTTTTGTCCTCCAACTTTGTCTCGAAAGATCAATTGAAACATAAAATAAAAAATAATAATAAATAGATCAGTGATGTAGATTTTAGCCTATTTTTAAAAGATTATGTTAAGTTATGCTTTGATTTAAGTCAAATTAAATCAAAGACTAGTGAAAGCTAATCTAAAGGAATAACTTACTCTACCTCATTGTTATTGTTTTTTAGTTTGGGGTCTTTTTCTTCAAGCACCATCCAGAGGGCAGCCAAAGACATGAGCAGACCGTGACCCACGTCCCCAAACATCACCGCAAACAGGAAGGGGAAAGTAATTATGGTGTAAACAGCTGCAGAAAAACAAAAGGAGATGGTTTAGGTATTTATTCCCTGAATAATGTGAAGGATACATATCAACGCGACAAACCTGGGTTGACCTCACGGTAGCTGGCCACACCATAGGCGTCCACAATGTTCTGGAAACCAGCTGTGAAGGAGTTGAGGGGGAACAGGGTGGGAGGAGGGGTGGAGGAGGGCAGGCGGTTGTAGAAGGAGTCCACCCCACTGCCGCTCTTCCTCTAAAGACATAAAAAGAGCTTGATCAATGAAATTACTTCCTAATATTAATGAACAACATTGCAGTTCTCTGATTTAATGCTGCGTCGTCTCACCCCTCCCTCTCTGAGGGCGCTCTGCAGCTCCGGCAGCTTGGCAGTGGGACACCAGGCCTCTGCGATCAAGCACTTATCTGTCACGGACGGGCTGCAGAGGTTCAGCACCGACTGGATCGCCTTGCACTTCTGGACCCTGACCTTCCACTGCGGCAGGACGGCCACTGCTCGCTGCAGCAGCTGCTGCAGAAAAGCTTCGGTCTGAGACAACACCTGGAATACACCATGAGGAAGTGAAAGGGGAGGCTTTAATAATGATTGAAAAAAAGAGCCCATGAGTAACCATCCTAAACACTTTCGGAGTTTCCAGAAAGAGGAAATGCTGCCATATTGAAAGAAAGGAAAAAAAGAAAAGAAAAAAGTGTGCTTACCGATTTGATGTCTTCAATTCGGCCTTGAAGCCCCTGCAGAATCTCCTCCCTCTCAGCTGGGCTCTCGGAGTATGCAAATGTCTGCGTATGGAAGCTGTTGAAAGAAAAATCTACCTCATGAAGAAATAATTCAGATTACAGACCAAAATCAAAAACAAAGTGATGTACAAGTTTCCCCACCAGTCACATATCTTCTTCACTTTCTGTCCAATCTGATCCCCCCAAAAGGAGATAAGAAAGACGGTCCACTGAACCATTTCCCCCTGAAAACCAAGAAGCAGAAAACAGATGAAGTGGCAAAATAGAAACATTTGATTAAAAAATAAAGTAAAATCTGAGATCTCTGAGTTCCTACAGTGTCTGGATGCTCAAGTCGGTCAGCCATTTCTCTAAAATCCACGATAATGTAACCGCGACATGCCCGCCACAGCAAGCGTTCGAACGATGGGACCTTCCAGGGATGGACCACCCCTGCAACAAAACTAAGGATGAGGGAGAGATCAATTAATTAATGGGGATTGAAAAACAAACAAGATCTTTGTGCAAAGGGTTTTCTGGGCTCATATTAAAATGCATTTCTTAAAGTCTCGTCAGGAGGAAATGCACCATATTTATTTGATTCTTGCATTCTCAATGTCTTTCTGATTGATCCGTGAATCTCTTAAAAGAAGAAGAGGAAGCAAAGAGAGACACCTACCTGAGGCGGATATCTTGGCGATGATCAAACAGGCCGTGGCCTTCCAGCACAGGTGGGGGTGCCTGTCAAAAAAGCAGGTGGTAATTGGAAAGAATTAAAGTTTCCTTTTGCTCAGTTACTTTAAAGAACCTCCTAAGGGTCACATACTTACCTGAGTGGCTGTAAGTGAGTGTGTTTGGGTCAGGACTCCTTTGTACTGACAGAGCTGAGTGAGCTGAGTCCGGAGGCTGTCTCTGTTTCTGGACACCTGGGGGCACACAGACGGGGAACCCGAAAACTTGAGCACAAAACTACGCTGCTCTAGAGACACAACAGCAGCATCATGGCCATCACTGTTCTCACCTCTCTGAGCTCTCTGGCCAGCCTCTCACTCTCCTCTTCTATGGTGATGAGTTCACGTGGCTGAGGGGCCGAAGGCACAGGGGACGGAGGGCGGAGGGGACCCTTCAGGGGGGGGTCTATGGAGCGAATGATCTCCTGCTCCAAAAAGGCTGAGGTGCAATACCAGAAAGTAGGATAAAAAAAATAAAAACAAAAAAATTCAGATATTGATGAAAAATTATGAAACAAAAAAACTCTACCAGCATTTTCATTAAAGAGCACTAAAAAAAAAAAAAAAAAAACACTGCTCCAATTTTGCCCAAAGGCCTTTTTGTGTTTTTCTGTCTTGGTTTGGTTTCATCATCCTGCAGAAGGACTCCAGAAAACCCCAAAGTTGTTTTATTTAAAAATAATCAAGCCCAAACTAACGAACAGGTTTCCAGTTTTAAAGTCCCAGCAGATTAACCATCCTGTTCATTGCGTGCGATTGAAAGATAAACTTAGCTCCTCATGCATTCCTGTAACAGTTAAAGTTGTTTCAGACGTATTGATTATTGATCCCACTTCGTTTATGCAGCTAAGTTTAAGCCAGAAAGCTACTTTCTCTGTGTTTCTCTTATTTGTGCTTATTTGACAGGCAGGTTTTTGTGTATTTCCCATTTTATAAAGTAGTGATATATTTCTAACACAGAGAAACAGTAAGTCGTATATTAAGAATAAAACTAAAATGCACTTATAAGCTTAAAAAGGTTAAAAATACACTTTGAAGTCAAAAATAATCAAGTTTTCCCCCCCAATTAAATTAAGATCTTCAAGTTAAAGGTTCTGGTTTTCTGTGCGATTATGTTCCTGCTGTGACAGATGGACTTCTGACACATCTATAACTGTAATTGTGGAGGGCGCCGCGGACAAGAAGGAATGAGTAAATTCTTACAAAAAGTCTTCTCAAGCTCCTCGCATCGCCTGACCTCTCCGACAAACTTCCTCTGGAACGCATTCGTGTTAGGATTCAACTAGAAAGACAGAAAAGAGGAAGACGGGTTATTCATGTTCACCTTATTATAGAAGCAGGAAGGAAAATATTGGTGTCCAACAAACCCTTTATCTTGGAAAAACATAGCTTTATAATAATCTGAAAGGAATTTGATAACATCTGTAGAAAAGTTCTTTATCTAACAATCAGATCAAGAGAAGTTTTCAACTCACAACCTCTACCTGTTTGAAGCAAAAGGTGAAACGATTATTTGACTTACGTCTCTAAACTCCACTAATCCCAGCTCTCCCAGTTCGCTCACACAGTTATAGGCCGAGCCAGACTGGAGGAAGAGCTGCACCAGGCACACCTCCTCGCTTCGGAACAGGGAGCCCATAACTGCAGACACAAAGAAAAATACTTCCACCTTTAAATCTGAAAAAACAAGGTTAAATATTATCGCATGGCCAACAAACATCAATACTGTTTATAGCAAAGAAACAAAGGCATGATTTAGTTTTAAAAAGTCCAAAAAAGAGGATCTAGATTAACTGACAACTGTTCAAAAACGGGAAGCAGTCCGATCATCAGGTGAAATTTGCATTCCTGCAAACATATTCCTCTGGTAGCACTATAATGGAAGGAATAATACAATATATGTGTACATTTCTCTTTTGGTGCCACTTTAATTGACCTAACAAAGAAAAAGTCACATTTTAACTCATTAAACATAAATTAAACTTTCATATTAATGATTTGAGATGTTTGGGAAGTTTTTTTTTTTTTTTTTTTTTTTTTTACCAAAAGATAAAAAAATAGGTCTCTTTAAAGGAATTCAATTAGTTTCTGTATTCCCCCTTTTTTGTTTCCCATTTTGTAGGCTGCTTTGTTCTGCTGGGTTAATAGAAATCATCTGATAGAAACTGATTTAATAGACTGAACTGTGTGCTACCAAATAAAATTAATCAGTGTGGATGAGAGAAACACAGAGAAAAAGAGAAACTTTTTTTGAAAATAAACTATTTTCCCAGCGATAGTTTTGTTTGTTCATATTTTATTCCAGCTAACTGCTGAGTTTCGTTTTCAGAACACACAAAGGAAAACACAATAAAAGAGAGAAAATTATAAGCTTAAAATATATTTCAACGTACAGCGTGAAACAGAAATAGAAATACACAGTATAAAGGTTTTAAATGTGACCATAAAGGCAGTTAAGGTGGGAAAAGTGGCTCACAGTTAGCAGTAAACAAAGCGAAATGAGGGCTGTCTCTCCTCACCTGTCTGCTGATTGGACCCCTCTAGGACCACCGAGGACCCTGAAAGCTGCTCTGGACGGAACCGACGACCAACCGAGACAAAGTGGAGACGTGATTCAAGATTGTGGGGTTAGTTATCCTGTCTCTGTTCCCATTTCCCGTTCATGAGAGTCACGTTACTGGCAGTCTCACGTGACAGTGGAGGTAACCGTTACTATTTGCTCCCAACACGAGGGGGCGACATTTCTGCTTTACTATCAGGGAACCAAAGACTGATTTGACCAGCGCCGCCCTCTGTTAGAAACACATCAGTAAAATAAAGATAACATACTAAATAAGATTGAAAAATATAGATTTAATATAAATAGACTCATCATTATTTATCATCGTTATTTCTTTTTGTATGATTTTCCCTTTGCAACACAACATTTATAATACCAGAGCAATAATAACAGTCAGCATTGTTTTTTTTTTTTTGAGCGTTCTATATCTGATAATTTTTTTTAATATATATATATATATTAAATTTTGCTTTTATTCTGAAAAATTAGCTTAAAGAAAATGCATGGTATAATTTCTAGAATACACATATAAGTGTCCTTTCCTTTTGCACCTCTAGAAAATAGTTTATTAAGCGATAAATGAGTCTAAATATTGGCAGTGTCCAAATTAAGGAAAAACTTAAGTTACTGCTTCCATTTATTTAATGCACGGTTTTGCATCTTTTCCACCATCTACTTGCATTGAATTTCCAACAACAGAAATATATATCTTTTGTTTTTCAAGTAGGGAAAATATATTTTTTTAACATGATGTTCCAAGAATGCCAGGAAGCTGTTGTAGATAACATGCTTGTTATATTGTTATATATCTTTCATTGCTTATTCTGATTTTTTATTTATTTATTTATTTTTTAGCTGAGCTGAAGTCAGACATTGTTCTTTTTAATTCACAAAATAATTTGACTATAAAATAACAGAAAAAAAAAAAAGTCATACACCGTTGTGCGGCTCTTAATAAGTTCTATTAGCTGGACTGAAGTCAAAAGTGGCTCTTTGGATTGTAAAGGCCGCAGAGCCCAGATATTGACACATCAGGTGATCAGATCTGCTCCCTAAAGCAAAACAACCAGAAGCAGCATTTAGTTTCTATGTTCGTAGACTCTGAAATGAACTGTGTGAAAACCTGAAATGTGGAAAACCTGCTGGTTCCTATAGAGATCTAGAATAAAAACATTGTTTATAGCAATTATCCATAAAGGGGGAAATATTGCTTTACAAGTACAAAAAGTTTATTTTAGTGAATCTTAAACATTTAGCATAATTTGAGTGGATTTGTCCAAATTCTGTCCTTCTCTTTATATTCTTTTTTTTTTAAACCACTTCTATAAACGGCTTTACACAAATAGACCTGCCTTGTCTTAATATTTTAGATTCACCCCACTGGCTGCCCATACATTTTAGAATTCATATAAAAATGATCTTATTTGCTTTTAAATCCCTGAATTTTTCTGAGCTTCTATCCTTATAGATCTACTCGCTCTCTGAGGTCAGCAGAAGCTCAGAGGAGACCAAGCTTTGGCTGTTGGCAGCTCCAAAACTCTGGAATGATCTACCTCTGCAGCTCAGACAAGGCAAGGCAAGGCAAAGCAAATTTATTTGTTTATTACATTTCAGTACAAAGACAAATTAAAGTGCTTTACAGGATTAAAATATAGGAAAATAAAACAGAATCAAAGCAAGTAGGAAAACAAATAATAATAACAGGCATCTTCTGACTGTTTTGAAATCTCTTGTCAAAACCCACCTTTTCTCTTTGGCTTTTAACGCCTAGCAAGACAGTGGGCTTTATTTTATTTTTCTGTCATTTATTCTTATCTTTTACCCAATATTGTGTGAATGTTATTCTTACCCATGTTTTAGCTTTTTTCTTTTTGGACATCATTTTGGTCAGTGGTTGTTTTTAGGTGCTTAACAAATAAAATAGGATTGGACATTCAAAACTGGAAGAAAACTATTTTGCATTTCACAGATTTCTCAGTTTTGTGTTCTTTTAAATCCTGTTTTAGTAAATCAAATTTCAATATGAAAAGTTAAGTTAATTGAAAATACAGCTTTAAAATTGTCAAAAATCTAAAATAAAATGTCCAAACCAGTATTTCCAGTTAGAAATGGTAATTGCAAAATATTTATTGAGTAGCAAGTAATCAAATCTTAGGGGGAAAAAAAACTGATTAGCTGCATCCAAGCCTGGTTACAGTGCAGGTTATTGTACGCAAAAAAAATAAATCCCTGTAGACTTAATCCATCTAAAAAAATAAGGCTAACATATTTTTAAAAATGCAACACAACACCCATTGAACAAAAGGCATCCAGTAACAAAAGAGACTCACATTTAGAAAGGCAGCCCTAAGGCATCAGGGGCCTAATTATCAGAATAACTTCAATGAAACAAGAAATCATCTTTATATTTCGTATATTTTTACAACAGGAAAAGTTTATTTTTCTATATTTACACTTGTCTCTAGTATCTTTAAAAATTTCAAGATTCCCAGCGCCTTTAGACTAAACGACATCAAATTACCAATTTATTTAATTAAAGTAAAACAAAACTCATTAATATTTCCAATAGCTTAACTAACATGTCAATTCATTTCTGTATTCTCCTTTTCATTTCATAGTCTGGTTTGTTCCAAGTCTTAAAATATAAATGTGCAAATTAAATGAAAATATAGGCAATATAACTTGAAAAAGATATTTTATTTTATCATCAAAGGCTTATCGGGAACACAGTAGCTCATGGCAAATGTACAACTGGAAAAAAAAACAAAGAAATAAAAAATGGAAAGATTAAACGAGAAATGAAAAAAGGGGGAAGGCTAAACCATGAAATGAAGCTTGTACACCGATTCATCTTCTGCAGGATCACTACAGATTTAAGTGTATCTTTCCCTACGAATAAGATAATCTACATTAAAAAGCAAAGCTGATTATGACCAGATCTGTTTTTTTTTTGTTTGTTTTTTAAGAGTACATCAAACTGTTTCACAAGCAACTTAACCCTCCCTAAAAATAAAAACAGAAATAATAAAATCAAATGCCGTCATATAGGACAGAAAATTTGTTTCTGTTCTCACGTCACATCATTTGGATGCAAAGCAAACAAACAGGTTGTTTTGCCCATACTGCTGTGTTTTAATGTGACAGATTACAATGATATCAGAAGCACAGTAAACAGGGATTTCTTTTTAAAGATGACTGTTCAGTAAGGTTACACATCTCCATTCAGCTGCCCTCTCCTCATCCTGAATGCATTTCTTTTCTACAAACTGTAAAATCTGAGACTTCTGTCCATTCCTGCAGACGTCAGGAATTTGGCATTTTCTCCAAAGGCCACTCCAGTCACCAGTCCTGTATGGTCTGAAAGATTAACAGAAAAGTTCAAATGATTTGAATATTTAATTTACAGTCACAGATATTAGATGGTTGGCTTTTCTGTCTCCTCACCTGTGAAGTTGAGCACCTCAGACCACTGCTTGCAGATGTAGATACGGATGTCAGATCCACCTACAGCCAGGTAGGTTCCGCTCTGATCGAATACCAGGGACTTCACCTGGAAGGGAAATGAAAGCTAATCAGTTTCAAGAAAAGAAAGGAGCACCAGTCCCTCAATGCGTTTTCAGCAGCTGAGGACCGATGTTTTAACATCTTTAAACACTTGAACTGAAGCTGGAGGGCGGTTATCTTAAAATAAAACCATAACGCAAAGGAAAACAGCTGGATCTTTTCAAACCAGGAGGCATGCTCGCTTTAGCCTATTAAAATGTTTGTCCCACAGAGACAGCAGAGCCTTAAAACACCTCAATCCCCAGGACAGATGCTTACAGACAGCCTTTATATGTTGGATGTTGTGTACTTAACAAATGTGGAAATATTTAATGTCTTACCTAACCAGGACTCCTCCCTAATAGTAAATGCAACAGTTAAAATCTGATTCTGTTGAATACATGATTATCAATCATGTGTATAAAGAAAAACATGCTACGATTTAAGATTTTATCTTGCTTCTCTTAATCTAGCGTTAAATTTTCCCTACCTCTAGAACCTCCTGATTTCACATTAGGAAAGAGGACCATATTCGCAGGAACGCAAACCTCCAACAGCTTTTAGTTTCATTCTCTAGACTCTAATCGGCTTCCCTTTCATTGCATAATCCCAACAGCATGATGCAGCCACCCCCATGTATCACATGGGGGTGGCAGGTTATTAAGTGTTAGTGACAAACTTCTACCGTTGTTCACCAAAATCAACTTAAGCGTTATCAAAAGGAAACTGTAAATGCAACAAGAACTGATTACAGACAGCAGTAACTTTTGCTATATCTAAAATCAAATTTAGGCTTCTTAAATGCATCAAACTTATTTACTTACATTTTAATTTAGAAAACTAGTCATGTCCAGTGTTGCCGACTTATGTGATTTGTCCCCCTTTATTTCAAAAAAGCACCTAGCACCAAATCTAGTGGCTTTTTTTACATCTTAACCTCTTAATATCCAACTCATTTTGGGAAATCCTCACCTATGTTTTATATCCAGATGGAAAAGTATATAACTTAGGAACTGTAACCCCAAACTACATGTGTGATACATTATTTGAAAGCCAACACCTTCTAGTTTCGGAATATATACATGAAAGCTGAATCAAGCCCAAGCTGCATCAGTTCAAACAAGACGAAAAGTTGTTTTTATTTATTCTAGAAAATAATAGCTCTTTTTGAACAGCAGTTATAAAGACATGCTTGCTTGTTGTGGCTGCTTTGTCATGGTACATTATGACATGTCTATATTAATTGTGCTTTGGTGCTCGCTATGTCCATAAAGTAAACTAGGTGGCTGAACTGTGGAGAATCTAAGCTTTGATGATATCTAACATGTCTATATTTGTAAACATCTTACCAGCGTAATTTTCATGCATTCTGAGTTATTATTTGTAAACAGGTTACAGGATTAGAGAGGTTAAAAGAGACTTTGGCGACAAAAGCACCAAACTCTGTCCTCCCAAGTGAGTGGATCTTAAGTCTGCCTCTCTCTCTGTCAGCTGTCATGCAGAGCAGGCTGCCTGCGCTGCAGCAGAGAGAGTAAATCTCTTTCGCAGGCTGGTGTAAAAACACCCGGTAAACCAATCTTTTAAGGTGAGTATTAAATGGTGCTACAGATGACACAACTTCTGTTATTGAACAATAAGGAAACATTTCACGTTACCTCATAGTTGTTATCCAGAGTTATGGTCTTAAAGTTCTTCAGTTTCCTCAGATCCCACAGTTTTACAGAGCTATCCTGGGCACCTGAGGTCACAAATATATATGACTTATTATAATAATCAAAGGATAAAATGGTCAGAAAACATCAACAATGCATTTTTGTTATATATCTGTGGTTCTACCAAACAGATGTAGCTTAAACAAAAACATTTTCACTAACTGGTGAAAGTTGAACCAGAACAAGGAAAGATGCATTTCCTAAAAATATTTTCAAGTTGCAAAGAGTACAGTAAATATAAACAAAATAAACCCCTATTAAACAAGATGTATAAAGGTTCTTTAATCCAAACCAAATGTTGCTCATAAAGAAACACTAAGCATGTTTGTTTTGCAACATAAAGTGGACATAGTTATATTTGCCATATTTTGAAATCCAATTTCGTCAGATCTAGTGACAAAAAAACAACAACCCAAAAGGCTTATTTAGACAATCCTTGTACTTTAAATTAAGATTGAAATCCTGCATAAGGTCTTAGATTCATCTCTGCTTAGAAATTAAGACTCAAGATGCTGCTGAGATTCTACCTCCAGGACACTGTTCTATGCGTTCAGATAGTTAGAAGACTCTTCACAGCCCTTAAAGCAAAATAAATCAATGAAGAGCAAAAACAGAACCTGTGGCCAGATAGTATCCGTTCTCAGAGAAAGCAATGGAGGTGACGGGTCCAGAGTGGCCTGGGAAGTTGGCCACGTTGGTGCGCTCCTTCAGATCCCAAATCTTAATCTGGGAGTCGGCAGTACCGGTACCAAAGATCAGACCATCAGGGTGAAACTGCGCACAGGTCAGAGCTGCAGGCGCAGAGAAAAACAGTCAGTGTCTGTCAACACAAACCTAGATGACCACACATCCACAGAGACACGTACCACAGCCAGCGCTCTCATCAGTAACCTTGGTGAGGACTCTACCAGTTTGGATGTCAGAAAAGGCCCAATACTGAAACAGAAACACAACAGGATTAATGTGGTGAAGCAGCAGAACGTCAGCATCTTTTCTAGCTGCAAACCTACCTGATCCTCAGAGGAGCTGAGCAGGTAGTCCCCTGTAGCATGCAGAGACAGCCCGGTGACTCCAGCTTCGTGGGCTCGCACCACCTGAATGCAGTTACCTCCAGTAACGGACCACACCCTGATGGTGGCATCAGGAGAGGCAGAGAAGACCACAGACTGGGAAGGATGGTAAATGACTGAGGTGACCTTTTTGGCATGACCTTTCAGAGTGGCCACAATCTGCTCTTCGTTCTTGTCAAATACGACCACGTTCTTATCAGCTCCACCTGGGAGAAAACAGGCAGCTCTATGTCAGACAAAGGTTTATTAAGATTACTGCTAAAGAAGTAATAAAATAGTGTTTACCAGTGAGCACTTTGTTGGTGTCAGAGGGACACACATCCAGGGACAGAATGCCAGGAATGCTGGCACTATGAAGACCCTATGAAAAAAAAACAAGCCAGGATTGTGACGTCTGTTAAAGACACCAAATAATCCACAGAGGAGCCAAATCCACACTTACAGCATGCGAGGCCACTTGGCGGTACTTGCTAAGATCCTCAGCTCTGACCAGATCCTCTGGGACGGTTTTTCCCCTCTACAGAAACAGCCGAACAAACAAAAGATAACGTTTACACAACAGAGCTCCAATTGTAGACCCATCAAAGAAAGAAATCCAACCTTAAGGGAATTGAAAAAATTACCTTTTTTCTCTCTGTAGTGAGGATGGTGGCTTTGTCTTGAAGCTGCAAATAAAAAAAAAGGATTTTAAACGTTAAAAAAGTGCAAGCTTTGTTGAAGATTAATGAACTTGAATAAGAAGTTTAAATGTTCTTACCTTCTGGATGATCTCTGGGGTCATTCCCACCTGTCCACTGATCTCCATAGGCTCTCCACCAGCACCCTAGAACACAGAATTCAGCCTTGTTTATATAATGAACAGTAAAAAGTTAGTTCAAGGAATCAAGTTTGAAAATAAATGCAGGATACTGACAGCAGCAGCTTGCTGAGAGGCTGGCACAGCCTGAGGAGCCACCAGTCCAGCTTGTGGTTTAAGTGTTGCAAGAGCTGTGAAGCAAACAAAAACACTCCATGAAGCCAATAGTTTATTCAAATGATAAAAACAAAAGCTGCCATACATTATAAAGATGCTAAGCAATAACCCCAGCTGTCAACTTACCTTCTCTTGCAGCGGTGACCTCCTTGTTGAGTCGAGCGATGACTCTGCAGGCCGCATCATGCTGATAAAGGGCGTGTGAGAGTTCCTGACGGGTAGTTTGAAGCTGCTGCCGCAGCGTGAAGCTATGCAACATCACAGCATCCTGCGGCACAATAACCAATAGGATTTAAGTAAGGTTTTACACTTTGCCTGGGAGGAACAGCTAAACAAAGCCTGTAAGGGCTGCTGTAAAACTAGGAGAAAAGTCCTAGCATGACTTTAGGAAAAAACTTGATGAATGCCTAATCAAAACCTGAGCCAAGGAGAGATGAAATTACTTTCTTAGAGTAGAAAATCCAAATATCTGCTCTATGAAGAACATTTTAAAAGGTGTAGGCAAGTTTTAGATTCTCTGTGTGCCGTACTCACCCACTCATCCTGAAGGGACTTGAGGATAGCAGGGATGCTTGTAGCTGACGGTGCCTTTGGTCTGATGGGATGGGTCACTAAAAGAATCATTTTTATTAAGTTTTGGCTAAACACACTATGTCACAATTATAAACATTTATTATGCTTATCATCATCATCTGCAGAGGATATAATTTAATTTACATATAAATCAAAGACAAATATGGTATTGTTTTTGTCAATATATGATGATCTGTCAAAAATATGAGCGTGTTAATGCCCTGCTGGAGTGGCAAGAACATGTTTTTCCAAGATGAGAGTCACAATATAGAGCAGCTATAGGATGCTATTTCAACCACCTGAACAGAACCACAGGCTGCTCACTACACTGATCTGTCTATTGATGCAAAAACAGCCTGAGTCAAACATTAAGTGGATAAACAGAAAAGCTTATTAAAATATTAGCATTTCATTACAGGTAAACAATAATAAAAATAAACAGTTAAAAAAAATTCTGTAATAAATCTTAATATTAGTCAAAGATTTCTTAAAACATCTCTGGAACATAAAGAAACCAAAAACTACTGTGGATATGACTAGATTGTATGAATAATACTGCTATCAACCAGTTTAATTCCAAAAGTGCTTGAACATGAAATTTCATTGAGGCCCTTCCACCTATGATCAATAATTAATATTATAAGTATGAATCAGAGGATGATTTGCTGTTGAATGCACTGTTTACATCTATAGCAGCGATATTATTTACATTATAGTGTCTTTATGCTGAATAAATGGGGAGCAGGTCCAGAATGAACTTATCTTAAAAAAAAGGCGTTTTTCCTATACTTCTCAAAACAGACTGATTAACTTGCACCATCAATAACTTTCTGAATACTACGAGTTTTATATGTAAAAGGAAGGAAAGTGAAGAATCATTATAATCTTTACATTAAGGCTAAAGATAGAACATTGACTTTAAAAAGCTAAATACCGGAGCAACCCTGTTAATTTCCTGAGCCCAAATCTGATTATGTTATTTTTTTTGTACCTTTGATGTCCACCAGCTGCTCCTCGGACAGCGGCTGACCGTTCATCGGGTCAGTCCCATTCTCAGCGATGTACTTTTCGATCAGCCTGCGCTCGAACACATGATTAGACACCGGCGAGATGCACGGGTGCTCCGGTACCTCGTTGCAGACTGAAGACAGAGACGAATTTAACAATTATAACTCACAATAAAGTATCAATAAGGCCCATAAACACGTATGGAGTAACTCTGAGGTAGAAGGCGGTCTGCGTGGCCGCCAGCGTTAGCCACATTAGCTGTTAGCATAAGCTAACATACTGCATCCGTCTAACAATTGATTCAGCTGGACTTACTTGCACAAACCAGAGACATCTTCTCAGCGCAGCACTTAAACTCTTCGCCTTATAGGGGGCTATGATGCTGAGAACTAAATTGTTTGAATCTGGCAGTTTTACCTAACTTATGTTTTGCTAAAAGTGTGAGTAGCACGCCGTCCTTTCATTGCCGCTATAAAAGGAACTGATGTTACATCTTCTTCTACGCTGTTTTCCTCCTACGTCAAAACTCAAGCATTTGCTTCTGTGCTGCCCCCTACCGTCAGCTAAACGTTATTGGCAGTCTTTAAGTTTATTTAAAATATGAAACATATTTATTATTTTATAGATTCGTTACAAAAAAATCAAATTATTTTAAACACATCTTTTAGATATTTTTGATGAGTGTCGTTAAACAAAATTATTAATGTTATGAACATTTAGTTATAACACAGGTGTGGTAAAACGTTTGATATTAAAATTTTTTCTTTCTGAATCGGGAGTGATTTGACAGAAGTAGTGAAACAACTTTTGGCCATGTGCTGAAAATGTCTGGATGGTGGACTTTTAAAACACTAATTGTAACTCATCTCCACTCCTGATGACATTTCCTCAACTTTAGGCTGAGGTTATCCCTCTTTTTTCTGCCGCAGTTTTTCCCTCCACTCAAATTTTAAATAATACACTTGGATTTAACATACATATTACTCACACAATTATCTTTCCTTAACTTATTGAAATATGAATGCACAAAAATACGTTTAGATATGATGTTTGTTAAATATACATTTTATTTTAAAGATAAGGTTATGTTAGCGGATAAAGATCTATTGAAAAAAAACAGTTATTTTCCAGTGCACAGGATTCAAAGATTAACTTTTGATTAGCTGTTAAAATATTTTGGACATACATGCCATTAACGTTAATACTAGTCATTTTCTCCAACATAAAATCACAACACCATACAATACATAAACTGCAGAACAAACAGGATATTTATATTTACCATTATTATTGCAATAATAAGGAAAGGTTAGCATGACAGGTAAGCACACCAGTTCCCGCTATACTTATGTGATGTAATAAGAGTTGTCTCTTACAAACTTTAGAGTTAGTATTTTTAAAATCATAGCCCTAGAATTTACAGAACATATACAGACACTCAGTAAATACAGTGCAGATACTATCTGTCCTGAGGTTTAGAGGTAGGTAACAGTAGGAGATTTTAAGAGCACCATTAACCAGTGCAAAGTGAAACAGGATAATCAGCACTTCCCCCCATGGTTCAGAAATCAGTACAAACCCAAAAACTGTGCAAATAGTGTTGCAACTTCTCCTTAGAATCCATGGATATAATTTCTTAATGCCTTCTGTTTCTGCTCTTCCTTCTGTTTTATAAAAAGTCCAGTTTCTTAGAGGTGTAAACGCTGCAGGAGGCAGAAGTTTCCTCCTCTAGCGGCAATGTAGAAAAGAAATCTCCTGATTTGCTCGGTCCGTCCTCCTCTTTTTCTGTCTTTATCTGGAACTGGACGCAGTCCTCAGAGGAGTGGAGGCAGTCGGAGGTTCCAGGCATAGAAAAGGAAATCCTCTCTTCCTCCTCGTTAGATTTGTCCAGCTTGGGAGGAATAAAGAAAGATTTTTATAAACCACATTACTAGGAAACACAACTAAATTAGACCTTTTTTATTTTTTTGTTACCTCTGGGATCAAATTATGTCGGGACGAGGAGCTTCCAGCCGCCTGCCTCTGTACCTCCTGGTTCTCTGCTCTTGGACTCCCCGAGGCAACAGGATTGTAACCCTGTAAGTACAAACAGCTAAGTTTCCTGACCATATAGTTAACATCACAGACTGTTCAATAAAAGAATCTGCCTTACAGTGTGTATTGGGCTGGCTCTAGGGGTCCATTTTCTTGGTGTTTGAGGCTGTTCACAGGGATTATAATAGGCAGGGGGTTCTGGACGGGGATGACTGTACTCCTGCTGTAAAAAAAAAAAAGATGTCATTTATATTGGCTTATAAATAACTGATTCTTTATTAATTCTTGCATCTTCTTGGTTTAGGTCCAGTTTCGCTTTAAGTTGAAAGACATCATTCAAGGAATCAGTTGGTTTCACATTTCAATGGAACGTGTTGAATAATTTATGTCTAATGGATGGATGGATCGACGGATGGATGGGTGGATGGACAAATGGACGAACGGATGGATGGATGGGTGGATGTATGTGCGGATGGATGGATGGATCGATTGATGGACGGATGGGAGGATTGATGGATGGACAGACGGACAGACGGATAGATGGATGGGTGGATGTATGTATGGATGGATCGACGGACGGATGGATGGATGGATGGATGGATAGACTGACGGTTGGATGGGTGGATGGATTGATAGGTGGATGAATGGATGGACCGGCGGACGGATGGGTGGATGGACAGACGGACAGATGGATGGGTGGATGGATGGACTAATGGGATAACTGAATAAAAATACATTATTGTGAGTTCCCAGATTTTACAAAACAAACCACAAAATTTAACAGGTATTCGCTTCTGTTCGCATAATACATAATACACAGAATACACTTTGAGATTAACTGAAAAGCTCAACAAAATCATACCCTGATTTATAAGTACTTGATCAGTTTGAATAATCTTAAGGATGAAGGTACAACTCATAATTTCAGAGTACTCCCACAATGGTCATAAGCTGATGTTAGTGATGGTCTGGATGTCCTACCTGGATATTAACTCTGGGGGGGTTAGCTGGTGGTGCACGGTTGGTCCTGATGCCTGTGATGATCTGTGAAAGGCTGCAGTTTGGGTAGCGCTTCATGAACAAGATGAAACCAGCCAGAGACACAAACATGCCTGAAGGGACACTGATGGACTTGAAGAGGGCTCGCCAAGTGGCCTTTTTTTCTGGAAGCATCACAGAGGCCGAGAAATGAAGAGAGATTATGAGAAAGAAAAAATGTTTCAATGGGAGAAACATGGGATGCTGCTTACCGATCATATGCAAGTAGGTGGAGGACACCACATTTCCGTCCCCATCTTTGATTTCATACAGCCCGTCATGTCGTGATGCAAGTCTTGTGATAACGACCTCATAGATGGATCCATTGCGGATGACAGAGATGATGAATCCATAAGCCAGATCATGGTCCATTATCTGGCCCTCACGAAGAAGCTGAATGGGGCCACGTGGCGGTTTGGGATCAAAGGGGCCAAGAGAGGAATCATCCGGTATTCGACTTGGGGTAAAAATGAGATGGGCATGATGGACAGGAAGAAACAAGGGTAGGTTAAGAGACTCCTTGGTGAAACGTGTAATGTTGAAGGAGTACCCTGCAAGAGCATGCAGAATAAAAGAAGAAAGGAGGACATATGATTTATATGAAAGACAATTTGATAAATTAAAGAAGGAAAAAACATCATTTTTATAGCTGGGAGTGTGAGTATTGCAAAAAAATAAATTTTTATGCTCACCACGAACAGACAGTGTGCTGCGAGACAACACCTTCCCAGCATCGTCTTTCACGGTGTAGTTGCCTTGATCTGCTTGCGTCACCCTCTCTGCTACCCAGACCTTTCCCCCGCGCAGCAGCCGTCCCCGGCCCGCCTCACTCGTCTCCGGGTTCGTCCGGTTCCACAACACAACAGGCATGGCTTCAGGTGGCGCACCCCGAGGCGAAAACTCTAACAAGGAGGCGTTCTCGGGGATGCCGTGCTCAAAGGTTTCCCCGTAGTTCCTTCTGTATGGCTTGATGCATTCTGAAGATGTGAAATAGAAAGAAAACCAGTTTGTTTGTCAAATCTAGTTTACTGTTATCATATAAGGAATATCTGTCTGTATGATTTAATAAAATATCTCTGTAAAACACCTTAGGATGATATGTTGTGAATATAAATAAACTGGATTAAATGTATTATACTTAAATACTGGATAAAAAATAGGTCCAATGCGCCTCATGCTACAACAGTTTCATACTCTTGTTGTAAATTTCTCTTACTTTTTCCTCTTTCGTGGGCTTTTAAGAATGCACATCCAATTCAACAAACATTTTAAGCCTCTGTAAATTATCCTAAAGGATCTTGAAAAATTTTATGCATTCCACCCATGCGTGAGTCCGTATTCCCAAGAAACATAAATCTGCATAATCTTCGCCCCAATAAGGACATATGAGGGGAACTCCCACGCTTGTTCATTCACATAAAAAACATTAGTAGAAGAAGTAGAAGAAGTAGAAGAAAAGCTTTACAGGTTAGAAGATCAAGAACCTGCTGACTCAGAGCTGAGCCACAGCATTAAAGACAGTGAAATAGATCACAAGAGCTGTAAATTATGTGGTAAAACTAGCTTTGCTAAACTTTCTATCCTTTTTTCTGTTCCAGATGTTATCTAATTATTAGCTTTATCACTGACTGTTATTTCTTTTGACGAAATACCAACAAATATAACCTGTTTTCTGTGGATACCGACTTGCCAGCTGCAGGTGTAGTGACCGATATTTCTGATTTAAGACTTAGACTTGTCGAGAGCAGTATCAAGCTGCTGCTTACTTGTTTATTCTGTCATCAGCGACTAAAAAAGTAATTGGTTATTGGGGAGAAGCATAATATCTAATGATGTAGCCTAAAAATTGACAATTGCATCTAAGTAAAACAAATGTAGTCATTTAGTGAAAAACCTGGTTTGTATAACAGCTGACTGATTGTGTGAGCCTCCCATGTCAAGTCTAAAGCTCTCATAAAATGTGTTCAAAAGTGAGAGAAGATTAGAAATAGGAAAAAAAGGTAAATGTGACGTTTTCTTCTAAATGACTACAAACGATTTAAGAACAAATTTCTGCGCACAAATGGTTCTTGCATGGGGCCCACTGAGTGTGTCCAACCATAATATTCAAACATAATAATAAAAATCAATCAAATGAAGTGGAGATTGATACTAAATTGATCTTGCACCAGATGAGGAATACAGAGATGGATTTAGCAGGAGACTGAAAGCTCTCTAACCTGAAACGATCAGATGAACCGTCTCATAGGTGAAACCAAGAGACAGTTTGTTGGCATAAAGTCCCTGATCACTGAAAGTCACTTCTCTCAGGACTAACGTCTTATCTCTGGTCCACTCAAAACGAGGATCCCTTACCTGCAAGGGAAAAAAAATACTCTGATATTTTGAATCTCTCCGAAACAGAAGTGAAAAAAAAAGAACTTTATCTGAATATATGATGCCATATTTAAATCCATAATATAAATAACATACAATATTAATAGCATTTGTTATAAACATTCATGACTTCATTACAGATGATCTGCAGGCATGGATGTTATTTTAGAAAAAACACATTTACAATATAACCTAATGTTAGCTTGCTTTATCTAATCCAAAACCAGTGTATTGTGTCTGGGATTATATCTCTGCTGAACAATCAGCTGAGTGTCAATAACAACCAAACGTGTGATATAAGGGTAGCCGAAAAATCTGGAGATAACTATTTTTTTTATTTACATCATATACAGCAATATTGTAAATGTAAATCCCTTTATTGTCCTACAATGAGGAAATTCACTCTCTACATTTAACCCATCCCCTTGGGGAGCAATGCGCTGCCATTGTGTGGCACCCAAGGAGCAGTGTGGAGTTAAGGGACCTAGAGTGGAGGCTGCAAAGATTGAACCGGGTACTTGCAACCTTCTCAGAGCACCAATGCACTGCTCTAACCACTAGGCCAACACTCCCCAATAACAACTGAGGGGAAACTGGCCCACACCATGCTTCATAGGTAATCACCTGTTTTTATTCTTGACAAACCTGTTGTCATCCTCATAAAGACTTGCTTTGAGTTCCAACAGTTCATACAGGCTTAAAGTGTGTTTATTTGTTTTTACTCTCTGAACCGACGCACCCAAAAGAGGTCCTTTCAACATTTCTATTCCTTGCTAAAATAATCAACCATTCTTGCCTGTTCTTATGTGAAATTTTCTACAGTTGTTTAGAAATCGCCCCTATTGACTTTCCAAACCTGTGAAACAATTGAATGCTGTTCCCCCTAGGAATAATCTAATATAGGTATTTATTCATGATCATCAATGATAGGTTAATCCCTTGTAGGGTTAAAGAAATGTTTACAGTTAAAAGCTAAACAGAGCTGCAGTATGGCACCAAAACAATAGAAGTTTGGAGTGTAGTTCAACCCACACTGTTTTCCATAAACACAAGGACAGATTTTCACTCACGGTGCTTCTTTCAAGCAGGACCCGTCGCTGGCCCCCAGAGTCTGGTGTAAACGTCACAATTCTGGATGTGGAGTCTACCGGCAGTCGAAACTCTTTCCCAACACAAACAGTTTGAACTTTCTCTCTTTCACCTGTCAGAGAGCAAAATCTGTTAAAAAAAGAAACCAGTCTGCACCAGCATGCTTTCAGTACAGGGATGTTTTCAAGGATCGAATAAAAAAAACGACTTACCTAATAACTCCCAACCTGCAGGGAGCATATAGACACTGTTAGTTCCATTATCCAACATAGAGAGCAGACATTAAGTGCAAAGAATTTCTATAATTTTATTACATAGAGAAGAAAAATCAGCCCAACATTCTATAGTTCTTTTTCTGTTTTGGATATACCAAAACAATATAGATCAAATCAACTTGTTAAAAAAAAATTTAAATAAAACTTTTAGGACTTAATATGATTTTAGTAATCAGTTAAATCAAAAATAGGTTACACCTCTATAGTTTATGTATAACAACTAGTTTTATGAAGGTATATTTGTTTATTGTTTATCTCAGAGGGCCAAAATAAGAACTGCTGTTCCAATGAATATGATCAGAGTAGAAGAATCTTACTTGAAAAAAGAGGAAGGGTAAAAAGCAGGATCAGGAAGACGTAAATGCGCATTTTGTCCTGTAAAACACAGCACATTGCAGGTTGTAGCTATCCGTGGGTAAACATCATTGTCATTCATGCCCATGCACCCGCTCTGAAAAACAAGTGGCCAGTCTGAACACCACATGCCTTCATCAATCAACAAGCTGCATGAGGAGGGGACTGAAAAACAAGCACTGGGTTGTTTTTTTTAGTCGCCGTGGATGTACACACACTGAGCACATCCAGGCGCATCAGCCAGCACCGTCATCCATGACCGATCATCTGTTGGATAACACGGCCACTCAGGTGTCAAACAACCGCCACCTCCTCCATGTATCTTTCACAACGATTACTGACCATAAACAAATGAGCTCACCTGCAGCCTGTGTGTAAAAAAAAACACAGCGTGGAAATATTCCAGCGTTAATACGGATGAAGATAAGAGGATGTTATAGCTTGGTTTGCAGAGCGCGCAAGCGCAGAGCGCACCTTCCGATTTGATGGAGATGGACAGGGTTGGTCCAGCGGCTCTGCTGCGCAAAAGCACCACGTGATCCCATTTCCTGCGTCATTGACCGCCAATAAATGAACAACTTTATCAATAACATAGGAATTAAAAGAGTTGATAAAAAATATTTAACCCGTTCATTGACTTTACTGATTGTCTGGTTGAAAAGGGCTACAATAAAGGATTTAAAAAAATATATACTAATGTAGAAAGAGATCAAAACAATAATACTGAACAAAGCCTTGAAATGGGAGAAGTACAATTAACTTACCCCCCCTCCAAAAAAAGAATAAAACATTAATAAATAAATGTGTTGGCCAATATGTTAGTTCTAAGGTTTAAAAAAAACGAATGGATAATAAATTAATTTATAAATTCAATTAAAGCTAGATGATAACAATAGAGAATAGAGACTGCTAAATGTTTTATAAAATGTTTTTTTTTTTTTCAAGTGCTGAATGTAGGGAATTGTAAATCATATACCAGTATTAGGTTTACATTTGCAGCCACTGCAGCACTTTAAAACAGAGGTGTAGCCAGAACATTTCTATAAGGGTGGCCAGGCAATAACCAAAGTACACTGAAGGGTGACCAAAAGTGGATCGGCACAAGAACCTTAGGGTCAATCTATACTGATGCAACAGGAAAATTAACAACCACAGCATCCATATTTTTCAAATAAAGACAAACTATACTTTTCTACAGCCATTGCTAAAAAATAGACTCATATATTTAAACATCCATCTAGATAAAAGGTATAGTGGATACAGTTCCTTCAGGTTTGAGTTCTGGGTTAAACATCTTTTGCATTGTCTTTACTTACTTACTTTTATCAATAATCATTCTACTTAAAATTGATATTTACAAGTACTAATATCTACAAGAAGTTCTTTTTAAAATAGTTATTTATGTATGATTTAACTGAAGACTGACTTGCATTTTCTCTTTACCCCATATAACACAGAATCTAGTTCTGAAAAGAGCATGAATTCTGTACTGATCATCTTTAAAGTTAGTATATTGATGTGCATAATAAACCACAGTGTTTTTGCTGTCAAGTAATTTTTCACCTATGAAAAATTAAAACGTTTTGAATATCGAGAGTATTGATGCTGCCACTATCAGTATTATGGGGGAAAAAATGTAGGGGTGGACAAAGTCTTATTTTTATTTAAAACTTTAAAAGTTTAATGCCATTCAAGCTTTGCTTTGATTTCTTCCAGACAAATAGGCAGTGTTTGAATTTACTTTACATCCTTCTTTTGCATCGGAAGGTAGATTTGACAGTCATTTCAATCCAATGAAAGGACATATCAATTATCAAAAAAAATGGAACAGAGGAGCAGGAGGTAGACTGAAAAAAGAAAGGGACCTAACATGGACCCTTGAGGTATACCAAACCAAAGTTTGAAACTTGTTCTTTTAATATATTAACAAGTTTCAAACAGTAATCCACAGATTGAACAACACATGAATATGTATATATGGTTTAAATTCATAGCAAAGTTTAAAACATAAATGAAAAACAGCAACAGTTTATCTCGTCATCCACAGGTCTCAGTTAAATCACAGAGAAAAGATTTTAAGCTAAAAACTAATGTTAAACAGGAAGCTAAAAAGTCATATCAGTTTTCAAAGGCAACGTCTACATATTTAAAATATACATTGAGATAAATTTATAAATATCAAGTAGACAAATTTGGTGTTATTTTAATTTTATGCCTCGGGAAAAGTGATTTAAATGTAACACTTTTAAGAAATGTCATATTGATATACCTGAAGACATTCTGATCTCATGCATATATACTCATATTAGTAATTTGCAGACTTTTCCCAGCAAGCCATCCTCTTTTACCAATAAAAATATATCTATGCACAGTGCAAGCAGCTTGTGTCTAGTCTCCTGTAAAGGGCTTAAATTGTGACATTATTTGAAAACAATTGATTTTGATGCTGCATCTCAGCTTCAAAGAGAGATAGACATTGTAGAAACTGCACTAAATCAGACTTCACCATGCAACATTTTAAAGATTATATAGGTTACACAATTATACAGTAAAATGCTTTGGATCTCTGGCATGAGATCTCCACCAAAAATAATTAAGACAAATCTAAAATTTGAGGTTTGTAACTCCTTAAACAACTTATAAATTTAAACAACTTATATTCCAGCTGCATGATTTCTGTCTTTCTTCCCTGGATTCCTAATGCATGTAGTGATGTATTGTTACTAAATGCAGCATGGGCAAACTGAAACAGCTCCCTCAACAGAGTGTTTAGCAGTCTGTTCATAAAAAGTTTAGTTTATCTGAGATGTAAACATCAGTCGAGGGTGCATCTGCAGTGAGAGGAGGAGCCGAGGGAAATGCCAGTCCTTTTATCTGAAATCTCGGCTGATCGTCAGAGACCTCTGAGCTGAAAGTGGGAGCTGCTTCACTTTCCTGATATATTAGAGGTCCAACCTGAAAATAGCAAATTGGTAGAAAAATATGGAACAAACAGTCACATAAAAAACCCCTAACAACCTTGAATTTAAAAATTTTTCTCTAAATCTGTGTGTGCACCTGAGAAGCGGGTTCAGGCTGTGGGGGGCTTAAAATGGTAGGCTGTGGAGGGTACACAGTGGTATTAGGCTCCGACAGCTGTAGAACAAAAAAAAACGAAAGAGATCATCAGCAAATGTGATCATCACACTGATTTTTACGGGGATTCCACACATGGAATATCATCAGAAGACCTTGATTTTCAAACCCACCGACGGTCTCATTGACACAGCTGCAGGTGATGCGTAGGCTGGAGGATTTACTGGATGAGGAGGATAAACTGAAGAATAAGATGTATTAGAGTAACTTGGTCCTGTTGGCTGGTTCGTACCCTGCAAACAAAAGAGAATAGGAAAATACATTTTCAGTATCGAGGCAATTTTATTTGTTAACAACAAATGATTTTATATGGATTTCAAGCCTCATTTGTTTATTTGTATTTAAATCTCTCTATCACAGTATTTGGAGTGGGGCATTGCTTTGATTTGTTTTTATTATAACACTGCCACCAACTTAAAACCTATAAAATAACAGAAAAGTAATACTTACATGATAATACGTGACAGGTGCTGGAGCAGCTGAAGCAGAATTGTCCTTTTAAAAGAATATTTAAAATAAGGATCACCGAGAAAAACACCTCATCGTAGCATCAATTCAAGTCAATACATACATGATAGGCAACAGGTCCTTGTGTCAGTACAACAGCAGGTTTGTCCTTTTTACAGCATTTCTTTTTACAACAGCAGTAGCAACAACATATCCCCAAAAGCAGAACCACCACAATACAAATGATCAATGCAAGTCCGCCAGCAGGTTCTGTAAAAACACATAGATATGAGAGGAAATTCTAGTTTTTAACAATCATGGATTAATTTTGGAAAGTGGAAATGTAACATGACTCACCAACGCTGACATCCAGAGTCGCAGACAAGGCCAGGTTACCTTGTGGGTCTCTGAACTCAAAGGTACCAGAATCTATTTTATCTAGTGGGCCTATATCGATGCCGTGATTCCGATAAGCAATTCTCCACGGGAAAATGTCATTATCAAAGACCAACTTTCCATTTTTCATTACTGTGACTATTTCATCTTCTATATCCGATTTAAAAGTCACAGTCCATGGTCCACCAGTCAAAGGATAATCTATAAAGAGCTGTTCATTTAGATTTCGGGAAAAGTTGTAGGTGTACTCTGTGTTTGACAGACCAGAGATCAGAGCAGTAATTAGTTTAACATAAAATTAAAAATGTATTTTAGCTATCCTCTCTGAAGCTCCTCATTTTACCATTCACTGTGAGATTTATCCTTGAATCAAGACTCCTGTCTCTTCGCCTGAAGTTGTAGAAGCCACTGTCTGTCGGAACAACACCAAGGATTCTCCAGACATCATCTTTAATGTTTCCTATTTTTTCATGATTTTTCGAGGGGTCAGTTCTATTCCACAGGATTAATGTTACATCTTCATTATTAAATGGAGTGTACTCCAGGTACTCAGCCTGTTTAGAAATTTCACGCTGTAAATTGTCCATGTACTTCTTAGTGATCTTTTTAGCACACTCTGAAAATACAAATAAGATAAACAAAGAGTTAACCTAAATAAAAAAATGTCTAGAAAGCTTTATAGAAGTAATGGTAGGAAAGATTTATCTACTGTATTTACTAGGTTTGCCATTGAGTTTTGAAAATGTAACCAAAGTGAATAAAATGGACATCAACACAGGATGACACAGAGGTACCTTTCACCAGAATTCAGTGCTTTAAGCAATGAAAGGTAAAAATGGTACAAGATAATTTGCTGAAATTAATAAAGAGTCTTAATGGCCATCCAATACAGTATTATTTGAAATCCAAAAGTCCTAAGACTAAAAGTCTTTTTCTAAAGATAGTACATTAGATTCTGGAACACTTCCAACAAGTAGTGGTTTGCACAGACTTTTTGAAGAGGAGGTGCAGAAGGAAAAGAAAATGGCACATATACATGTGGCATGTCCTCACACTTTATAATGCGTTTTGGCTCCCAAGGGGGCAGAACAGTAAAACCATATGTTCAATCATCTGATGGTGCAAAGTTTAGAGTTATGTTCTTACCTGTTACGTTCAATTGGACTCTCTTAGAAAATTGATCCACGCGTGGAAACGTATAAACTCCTGCATCTTTTTTAGTTATACCTAAGAGGCGTGCTGAAAACGAGGTAACTTTTAGTCTTGGCTCCTTTACCTAAAAGACAAAATAAATAAATAAAATATTTTAATCAGAAAATAAACATTCAGTTACAGTGCAAAGTATTCTCACATTTTACAACTGTTACTTTGGAACCTCTCCCCTCTTTCATCTGAGTAGTATAGCTTTAGCTCAGTCAGATCCAGTGTAGAAACTTTGACGTTCAATTGTTCATTATTATTATTTTTTTAATAACAGTTGGATTTAAGTCTGAATTTAGACATGAACAGATAAACACATGCACTGGCTTTGATCTGAACCACTTCCATTTAGCTCTGGCAGTGTG